TACCTTCTACGGGATTATTACCATAATTGCGTTTGTTACGACTCCCCGTGTAATCGTTTCGACGATGTCTAGTCTTTAATATACCGATGCACCCGTATTCGCTTACTTACGACACGCATAATTGTTAGAAGTCGTGTTGCACGCGCGTGACTTTGTGACTAGCGAACGTCTGAGAAAGTCTCTTTGACGTAATGATATTTTTGAAGAATCAATTAATATATTTTTAATAATATAACGAGATTGAATTTAGAGATATGTGCGAACCGTCTGAAAAATTATTCACTAATGTAAGGAGAACGATTTAATAAATAAATAAATAAATGTATAAATATATATATATATATATAGAGTGGTTGATAAAAAAATGTATAAAGATATAACGACTCAAATAATCCGGATATTAACAACGTGCGGCGCGCACGCGCGCAAATTATTCTCCTAGATCAGCCAATGTATATCCGTAAAACCGTGGGAGTATCACGCAACAAGATGCTTCCCCTAAATACATTTGTCGCGATAAATCGTCCGCTGCGAATCTTAATTAAACGGGCGTATTAATCTTCGCACTGCATTTCTCTCTTCTCCCGGCGCGCGATGATTAACGACGCAACAGCAGCCACTTTGACATTTAACTTCTCGCACACCTGCCCTTTGTAACATCATGGTAATTTATTAATGTTCATTACGGCGCCTTAATTATCCCCGTGGAAGGTGGCGCGAATCGCAGAAATATCACGACCCGGGCGGACGAGATCGGGTTCGCCTTTCTCCCGTCGCAATTCAATATGGCGAAGTAAGTTGCTGAAGAATCGTCGCGACGGCGACCTTCGCATAAAGGCCGCTTTCAGAGCGCTCTCATACTATCCTACCGCGGAAACGGAATTACGGTCCGACGCCTCTACGACGATGTAATCTCAACCGGATTAACATATACCCGACTATCCGTGAATCCGTCCACGCACCTTAGATTCCACGAGGAGAAAGAAGCTGCCGGGCTGATGGACTGTGGAGAGCAAGGTCGTGAAATGAATAAAACTAAGAGAGAGAGAGAGAGAGAGAGAGAGAGAGAGAGAGAGAGAGAGAGAGAGAGAGAGAGAGAGAGAGAGAGAGAGAGAGTCTGCCCGTAAGAAACGGGTCTTTGCGATTGCCGGACTTTTTCGTCCCCTAACGTCGTCGTCGTCGTCGTTGTCGCCGTAGTAAACGACGTTGTCGTATTCGTCGTATTCGTCGTAGCCGTCGTCGAAAGACGAATCCGAGTTGTATAATGAACCACGGCGATGTTCCTTCAAGAGCGTTTCTCAGTCGTTCGACAATGGACTTCCTCGTCGCGTCTCGGATATACTTGTACATCTCGCATAATAATGTCACTCCTTTATGCGAAAGACGCGCGACAAAGAAAGCTAACATACATATTCCCCGGCGAGAGGATTGCCACCGCTACGAGCGAACAAGTGCGACGATCTGATACGCTACGCATAATTAACGGGATAATTGGTAGACGCGCGTAACACCGCGCGCGATAATAAAGAATAGGATAACGAAGAATCGCAACGATATTCCGGTCGGATTGTGCTCGCGAGTAATTTGCATTTTCGCGAATTTTCATTATAATCGTCGTAATCGACAGCGCATTATACTTTGCTCATTAACGACTGAATATATAAGATCTCACAGGTATTACACGCCTCTCCCCAGCAATAGTCTTTTTTTCATTGTATCGCGCGCGCACGGAGGATGGCGTCATATCGACTATATAAAGCGTCTGCGTCCGCGTGACCGCGCGGCCACATTTAATTAATACAATCATCCTAATCACCGGTCTTTTGCTAACAACCGTATGAACAGCTCGCTACCCGTTAGACCGTTTACCCGGATTTCACCCTTAATCACTTTATAATCAGTACGTCGAGGAGGCCAAGGCGAGCAGCGAAAGCGGCTTCCAGCGGAACCGCTATTGTGTTTTCAAAGGCGCTCGTTAATGAGGATAAAATGTTCCACGAGAACTATTTATGCCACTCCACGATGCTGCGCCACTGAAGAATATACTCGGCCTCTATTTACTGTTTCCCGATCGGGGGATATCCTTCTACCCATCTCTCTCTCTCTCTCTCTCTCTCTCTCTCTCTCTCTCTCTCTCTCTCTCTCTAACTTTTCATCGTTACGGACGCGTGAATCATAATGGACGCACAAAGTCCCGAAAAATCATAATCCAGGAACCGAGGGAGTACGAGATAACGCGGAAATATCATATTTTTCCGGTAAATCGGAGGACACGCGGAATCCCGAAAGCTCGCGGTGTCAAAACGAAGAATGGGGAAAATATCCCGAAAACATATGGGCAAGCACAAGGGAAAATCATATATATTCGCGTGCACGAGGGTGAGGCGAAAAAAATGAAAATTCAGGATTATACATACATTTTCATCCGACCATTCATCCGATTTCAATATTGCGATTCGTCGGGACTTTACACTGCCTCGGATATTGTGGAGGAACGATATTTCAGAATGATGAAGCTTCGGAACAATGTATTTTTCCGCCGCGCGTCGTACCACCTTTTTTCATTTCTCGTTTCCCCCCCTCCCTCTCTCTCTCTCTCTCTCTCTCTCTCTCTCTCCCTCCCTCTCTGTGTCGACTGTCCACCCACACTGCTCTTCTCACCATCGCTCTGCAGAGTACCGCGTACCCGTCAAAATCGTCGCGCTCGTATCGACGATCTCGAAAGTTATTTAGCGGCCGCAGCGTGACGCGCAAGAGAGATCGCGCGCGAGGACTAATTTTTGCAAACGAGAGAATATTTGCGCGACGCGCGACTCAGCCGAAAATCTGGTTTGCATAAAGCCCGCTCTCGGTGTTCAAGTCGGATGATGCGTGGGGGGAGTGAGGTGGAAATCACACGCGAGAGACAACGACGCGCCCCGGTGGCAGCCGACGGGACCAGGGTGGATTCAAGTGGGAAATTTTTAATTTACTCCGGCGGATTTGCGCCGGCGGAGCGCGTTATCTCGGTGCATTTTGTAACGAGCGTTGTCGACGGTACAATGCCGGTACCGCGCCGTAAAATGGATGGATGGATGGATGGAAGCTCGCCCGTCCCTCCCCCTGCCCCTCCGCCCTCTTCTTCACTCGCTTTCCTTTCTGCTCCACGGCCAAGCGACGCGAAGCTCGCGCGAAATGGAGCCGGAGGAATCCGATTTTCTGGTGTTCAAGCCGCTCGGGCAGAAAATGACGTACAGAACTATTTCCGCGGAGGCGATCCAACCCTCTACTGACATGCCCCTTTTTCCCTCCCGGTTCTCCTAATGGAAATAATTACGGCCTGTTCATTGTTCACGCGAATTCAAGGGGTGAGATCTAATTTATCGGAGACGATAAGCTCACGCGAGAACGCGTTTAGAAAAGGACAAAAAGAAACAAGGAGATGAGAAAAGTACGGTTTTAATACCACCGCGGGAAATGGCATATGTGCTTTGAGATAAGCTACTGAAAACACGAAACGATGTGAGAAATAAGCCTGATAAGGAAAAGCTGACGAGGCGAGACGGGACGAGACGATCGCGAGAGGGTGTGACGCGAAGGGATGATGAGCGGGATGACGTAAAAGATGAATCAGCTCTCAGTTGTTAGGCCGAGATCGAACGAGAGAGAGAGAGAGAGAGAGAGAGAGAGAGAGAGAGTGGGATGTTGCAATTAGCTCCCATCGCGATCTACATCTCGCGCGATTAATGCTAATTATCGTGCGTATCGTCGATTAACATAGTCGGGCGCCGTGTATCCGCGACGAGATAGCGAAACTTGAGGTATGGAATTTCATTTTAACTGCAAAATTCAGACAGCAAAATCGAACGCTGGGCAACAAAGTTTCCCCATTAATTTCTTCACGCTCGTACTTGGAGGTAATTAATTAGAATTATGAGGAAAGTTCGCGGAGCACCTGTTACGTGTTTAGAACACGGTTTCTTCAGGATCTTGACGGACATCACGCACCGATATTTTACATCGACGTATGCACGCACGCGCGCCTGGCATCAACTCGACCGTAATATCATCGACGACAGCCCGAGAAATATATTCCGGCTGATATCCGGCGTAAAATTTATCAACTACCGCGCTCAAACGTTACACAAAACTGAAACTTTCGAGAAGTTATCTCATTTTACGCTCTCGCCGAGTAATATTCTGAAATACGGCTTAAATAACCGAGCGACGGGGCGAAATTGAGAATTAATATTTCTCTATACATACAATTCTTCCGAAGTTGCTTGTTGCTTAACCCCGACGCATCTTCCGAGTTGTGTTCCTTCTAATCGAAAAGTGTGCCACCTGCCAATATTGCGTGCATCATCGCGGAGTTTACGAAGTTTATAGAGCGACAGCAATGATCTTTACCTCAGAGTCTATCAATAATGGAGCACGACGTAATACACCATCGGCGATAATTGCAAAGGCGGAGGAAAAAGGGGCCAAGGTAGGGATTGGGAACCACGAAAGGGACCACTTTTAATCACCGTTCGTCTACACGGTAATCACCGGGTACGACCGAGCTCCTCCGGAAAGCCGCGATGACCCCTAATTGGCCACATTATTAAAATCGCATTTTCGTGATCCCAGCTGTGAGGGATCGTCCCTGCGAGCGAACGGCGATGAAGTTCCCTCGTAAAATAAATCACGCCGTCCCCGTCGCGGTAATTCGGCACAGCCGCTTCTGCCTTACCGGTAATATTGGATATTTTCTTAATGGCGAAACTTCCACGGCACCCGAATCCAGTTCATCCTCATGAACTCCCTGATAAATCGGTACACGATTCTCGACCGCTTCGATAGACCATCCCACCCATATCCCGCGCACTATCCTGCCGCTTCCCATTTTCTCCATCCACCCCCGCACGCTTTCGTCCCGACGCAAAGGACGAAGAGACTGCACCAGCAAAGTCTCTTGAAACGCGCGCGCAAAATGTATACTACCAGCTTACACGAAAATATTTCCACCCTCGTTACAGCCACTGCACCAGCGACTACATCGCCGTGTATTCGGGCCCAACGACGTCGAGCCCGTTGCTGAAGATGCTCTGCGGCAAGGAGAAGACGTCGCTAATATATGACGGCCAAGAACTCCTCGTCGAATTCAGGTTGGAAATTTATTCAACGCGATTTATCGGGACTCAAAGAATCAATTATTCTCGGCCTCTCTCTTGCGTCGACTCAAGTTGGAGATGGCTCGCCGTCCCGTGCACCCGTCGGAAAGTTTATATTATTTTACAGAACCGGCCCGGAGGTACCGCCTTTTGATTACAATGGCTTCGTCGCGACGCTGAGTTTTATAGAAATAACGACGGAAGCACCGACGACGGTCACCGTCGACAGCACGAATAAAAGTCGTAAGTAATGAGAAAGTCGGCGAGTTCGCTTCCGCATTTCCGAAGCCAACCACTGTTTATCGACTAACTCTCGTGTTTCACGCGTTTTAAGTTAATCAAGAACAATAATACACAAAAAAAAACACTGCAGTAGAAATTACGTTAAAATATATCTTTTACAATACTTTTGTAAAACTGGACTATACCGATGTGAATTACCGTAGAAATATAATAAACAAGGAGAAACGAAACGCCCAAGTAATCGCAATATCGTGTAATAAAAAGTCAAACGTGCACAACATTTTTATACAAATACTTGTAAGTTTTCGTCAAATTTCTTTGTGGTACAAGATTTAAAAAAATTTTGTTGGAATTCTCACTGCAATATTTCCTCCGTGTAGAAACTAATTGTCCAAGACTAATATTAGTATCTCAAAACAAACCTTCTCTCGCGTCGTATAACTTCCACGAGATTCAATCCACGAAGTTTCTATCCTATCTCGCCTGTTTCTCGTCGACACGATGTCTTGACATCGAACGACACACGAGAGCTATGCCAGAGATATGCTAATGACAGTTATTATATATCAACGTTCACTCACTCTCTCTCTTTCTCTCTCTCTCTCTCTCTCTCTCTCTCTCTCTCTCTCTCTCTCTCTCTCTCTCTCTCTCTCTCTCCCTCTCTCCCTCTCTCCCTCTCGCGCCGTTCGCCTTTGGCACTTTCCAGTCGAAATGATGAAGTCCGCCGGCAGCTACAACGTGCGGTACAACAATCGCGACCTCCATGAGCACCGCAAGGACCAAGGCGCCGTGACCAACAGCTGTGACCTCGAGGTGAGCGGCGAGAAGGTCCGAGCGGGCCACCACGACACCCGGGGCAAGCCCAAGTCCACGACGTGCAGGCTCGTGCTGCGTGGTCGCGCTTACGATACCGGACACGTTTCCCTGGCCAGTTACAACCTCAGGTAACGCCGCTCGCCTTCGCGCTTCGGATCTTCGATTCGCACGAGCCCGAGACGCACGTGCGATCGCGATCGACCGGTGGCAAGGAAGCGGTAAACCCTTTGTTCTTTCTCGCACCCCCTGCACATCGACACGGTGTTGCCCCCGATTGGCCTATCGACTCGAGGACTCACCAGCAGCGAACGAAAAAACGCACTCACGTAAACGACGAGCGTGGCAACGAATCGGTGCGAAATTGCATTTCGCATTTGTTTACTGTTTTCAATCGCGCCTCCCGATGTCCGCGAATCCGCGGCGGGTTACGATCGTAACTTACTCGTGTCGTGACGCGTTGTAAAAATAGTCGGTGGTTTGTGCCGTTGATTAATGTGCCGGTCATGCGGGTGTCATAAGTTTCGCTGTTTGCATCGACCGTAAGCGCTCTCGTTGTTTGGAACAACGTCGATGAACACGAGAAAGAGGGAACAAAAGAGAGAGAGAGAGAGAGAGAGAGAGAGAGAGAGAGAGAGAGAGAGAGAGAGAGAGGGAACAAACAATCCAAAATAACAATAATGTTAATTAACCCTTCCGGCCGACGTTCCGGAGTGACTTTCGCAATCTTTAAACTAAAATTTTTTTTATAACATACATGTATGTTACGTGTGTGTAAAAAATATGAAATAATATAATATGACGTAAATAATACAAAATCATAAAAAAACATCAATGATACGAGATATCGTTAAAACGTGGCGATACAGTTAGATACATCTCAGTCAAATTCAGTCGAGACGCGCAAGCCCCGAACGAGAACGTAACGCCCATTTGACGGCACCCGCGATACACTCGTGAGACAGAAAAGTCATCCGTGAAACTTGCGCTTCGGAATGTATCTGTCCAGTCCAATAGGAGAATTTGTTTTTCCCTGGGAGGATTCTCCCGTTGGACATGACGGATGCGTTCTAAAACACACGCGAAAAATTACGGGCATCCTTCCTGTCCACGACGACCGCGTACGCGCGGCCGCGCTGATGTTCCCCGATCACGCGCTGTGTTCCGCCCGCGAAACTCTTATTTCACCGTTAGCGGGGTCTCGCGTACCTTATCGGAACGGCGCCGGCGAGGATCTCTCTCTCTCTCTCTCTCTCTCTCTCTCTCTCTCTCTCTCTCTCTCTCTCTCTCTCTCTCTCTCTCTCTCTCTCTTTCGCGGAGGCTCGCGCAGTCTGGCATTAAATCACGCAGGGGAAACACGTCCGCGTGCGTGGTGTATCCCGGGGATTTTCAATTATCATGCACAATGCCGGCGACACGTGGGACGCGTATCCACGCCTTCGGAGATGTGTTCGCGTTGAGAGACGGAACACGCCGCGCGGGAGGGGTGAAATCAGCCCGGAGCCACTGCCGACGTCGACGACTACTAGTAACCCCCGACAAACTACCCCTCCGCCCCCGACATCGCGCGAACACGCCGCGCTATCGGTTCCAAGAGAGCGCGGATATGCGAGTTGATACAAACTGCAGACGCGAGACGAGAGACGTAGAGCGGAAAGGACTCCGTTGAAGATGCAGCATGAATTTTGAACGGAATATTGTAAATCCAAGCGCCAGGTGAACCGAGAAAGTATCCGCTTCTCTGAACACTGGAGAATATCGCGCGCGTGTCCCCTCTCGCCAGCCTGACGCCTCCGTGCGTTTCATCCTCCTTTCTTTGCTCGCGTTTGCGGCACGGGTGACCGCGTAATGGCAACATTCGTGTCAGATTTGCAGACTTTCTCTCGATCGCGGATTATTTCGCGCGATGGCGGACAATTTTTTTCGAGAAATTAAACAAAGAGAGAGAGGAGAAATGGACAAGTCGGGGTGCAGCGATGACGATCGCGCTCGCCTTTCCCTTTGCTCTTTCTTCTCCGCAGAGTTTGCTCGAATTAATCCGGCGATTGTTGAAACTTGGCGCGCGATTACTTCGGATTCCTCGCAAGGAGCACGTTAGATCTCGCTATTGCGCTGAGCTCTTTAAACCCCTCGCGGGAAAACACGCGGCTGAGATATCGGCGTGAAATTTCCTCGCGGCGACCGAGCGACCGAATTTCCGAGAGCGCGCGGGTATTATCGTGAAATCGACTGATGGATATGTTCTCGTGTTATCGATTCTGCAGCGCGCAGTCCTGCCAATCGGCGATCGAGATATTCGACGGCTCGCCGGAAAGCGGGGTGCTCGATACCGCCACCACCTTGGGGAGGATCTGCAGCCCTGCGCAGTGGCTCCCGCGGGAATTCGCGGGTCAGGATAAGTAAGTGGATTCTCCGGTTATTATAGTGACTGTGAAGAGATACATATATGTATAGATATATACATATGTGTGTGTGTGTGTGTGTGTGTGTGTGTGTGTATACAGTATCGCATGGTTTATTGGTGATGCATTGTAATCGTAAGTTGGCAAATTCAAGGATTCCTCCAACTCGCGATGCGATGCGACGCGATGCGGCGCGATGTGATGCGGCGCGACGCGGCTTAAACCGAAACTGGTTAAGTCTCCTTAGAAACTGCATCAAAATGGAGATTAGTTTCTAACTGCTCGCAGCGGTGCAAGTCAGTTAACGATGCGACCAGTCCTACGGCGAACAACGCGGGTCCCGGCGGGGATGTATACTTTTTTTTATCCCATGTACTTTATTATTAGCACGCCAGTAGCCTTTTTTCCGCACACGTCTTTGAGAAGCGTGGTCGTTATATCGCGAGCGCGGTGTTAGTCTGGATTCTCATCATCATCCGTCTAGACGGCGGCAGAATGGGATAATATTTTTATCCGTGTACCGTGAATACTCCAGTGCGAAGGCGTTGGGGAACATTTTGACGGAGGATCGACGGAATCCTGTCTGCCGTCGTCTAGACACATTGTGCGAATCCAGTCTTATCGGCTAACGCGCGGAATGGCAACCGATGTATTCCTGATCTTCGTGTCGCGAAGGGACGGCGAAAGATCGCCGGTACGTAATCGTAAAACACAGCTCCGGCAGATCCATCATCGGTCTCTCCGTTCGAGAGTTAGACACGACACGCAATGCGATATACCTCACACGCCTGTCTCGCCGGAAAAGTCAAGGAATGAAAGATGACTCTGTGCTCTCTTTCTCTCTCTCTCTCTCTCGCGCGCGCGCGCGCGCGCTGCATTTCGCCGCGTATACGTGTGCGTTTATACCGGACGACCTGCATGTTCGAATGAGAAGAAACGTCAGAGGACGCGGATGGTAATTATCTGAAATCGTTGAGTCCGTTACCCGGCGCAACGCGGAAGCTTCCTCCGGCGCAATAATTCATGCAAAGTTATTCCAGAGGCGATGCCTCTCGATTCTTCGAGTCGGAAACTCTGCCGCGAGAACTCCCCGACGAGAATTCGGCGGCCTATTCATGCGGCGACCGTTTAATTTAGCTTTAATAGCGTATTAATTCCGCAGAGAGGAGGTTTTATCATTCTCGTACACACACACACACACACACACACACACGCATCCGCGATCTTTCGACCGTTTCTCGAGAAAAGCGTCCATTTTCAATTCTGAATTATCTCGACAAATCGTAATTCCCTCTTCTTCCTTCTTGTTTTTTAATTCGGTCCTTTCTCAGGCTGCACGATGAAAAAGGTCGTCTTTTATGCGCGTCGGTGTCGAATTGGTGCTGTATCGAAATGTATATTTTACGATCATGGCGCTCTCTCGCGCGTCGATAACAGCACGGACGGGGAATCGTAAGGCTCTAACTACTTATTCCATTTTTCCTCAGCTGTTTCCAGTTATGTATAATTCCGCTGTACTGTCGCAAGACGTATATCCATAAAAAAGCGTAACAAAAATTTATGGACGTAAACTGGAACAGCTGGCTGCGCACGCAGTGTTGTCTCGCTCATAACGTTCCCGTGATAGCGTGATTTTTACGAGGGGAATCCTTCGATTACACAGCAAACTCGTTTTACGTTGATTAAATCCCGCGAAAAATAATTTTCGAAATGCGCGCATGAAACGCGCGTTGACTTTACGCGAACATTAGCGTTTTGCGGGGAAAAAAAAAAGAAAAAAGCGAGCGGCTGTGTTTTATATTCACCAAGTCCGTACGTGTTCGCATCTTCGTCTGACTTTTTGTTTTTTGTTTCGCGCAAAGTGCGCGATATCCTGCCTCTAAAAATGAAGCGCACATACACGATATGTGCTCGTTAACGAATACATACGCCGGTTTACCGCGCGCCGTCAGTATTGAGGTATCGGTTTAACGAGCGTGGTTTCTTCAATGACATCGTAAACATTTAACTCTGCGTAATTGTATGTGATACGAATTTTTAAATCGTGCGGTTTCGCCGTCCCATACGCTTGTTTCCACCTACAAGAAATGTGGTGCCCCTTTCTCTCTTCCTTCCTTTCTCTCCCCCCCCCTCACTTTCTTTCCTATTTTCTCTTTATCGTTCGTTCACGTATCATTTACGATACAAATCCTTGTGTATGTTCAGCCGAAGTTACCACGCGCGAAACGTGCGTTTTATAGACGCGGTTCTTTCAGCGTCGTAAACATTTAATGCCGATCGATTTACTGGTGCGAATAATAATAAATACGAGCGCGTGCTGGGGCGTTGATAGAATACCGGTTAATCCGTTTAATCCCCCTCCCGCTTTGCAATTTATGACTTGCAGCATTTGATCGCAAAATTCATGAAGAAATTACGCACAACGAGCGAGTGCGAAGGGATAAAAATTCGGAGGATTAAAACTCGCATTCGACGATAAATAAGCGTTTTACAGAAATTAGCTGCGTACGAGGGAAACGGTAATACAATTAAATGCCCGGCTGACAAGAATAAATACTCTCGAAGCGACAAATAACCGATGTGATGTGCAAACGAAGGAAATAAAACGTCATCGAGAGCGATGTAAAACGCGATATCGTCGCGTTTCGTCGCGTCCGTCATTAAGTGATAAATTATCGCGGCGTAAATTTTGAATTCATAATACGCGCTCCCTCTCTCGCCGGCAAAGCCGAGATATCGATGTAAGAATGAGATGCTTGATAAGAATTCAAGGGAGATAGAATGGAGGTCATATCAAATGAAAAACGTGACGAGAAAGATATTTGAGAGAAGATTTTTAGCCATATATATTGAGCAGCGACGTAGTATACGCGAACCGAGTGGATTGCATCCCAAAATTCTCGACTCCCTGCGGATCCTTACTTCGGCCGTTTTTTCGTCGAATTTCGCAACTCTGTCTTTTCATCAGCATTCAACACGCACCAGGTTACACAAGCGCCGTCGAACGACGTGAAACGCGACCGGAGCGATAGATTCCGGTGACGCAAGAGCGAATACACGTTTGCAAATTATGAGAAAACGAAGAAGAACGCGCGAGCGGAGCTGACACACTTCCCAGGGAAAGGATTCCCCTATCCCTATCGCTGCACGTGGGACAACGCCAGCGGGAGCCTGAAATGCCCGAGCCTCCGGAGACGAGGTTGACCAATCGGCCGTGGAAACAGCGCGGCGTCCGGGGAGGATCGAGCAACGGCAAACAAAGGTGATTCCTCGGGAGGTTGGAAGCGGCGGCGGTGACCCGCGAAGCAGAATTCGCTCATTCGTCAGACTAGCCGGCCGACCGACCTCGGAAAGGGACGGGGATAAGTGCAAAGGGGACTTTCGAGCTAGCGACATCGTCGTCGTCGTCGTCGTCGTCGTCGTCGTCGTCGTCGTCGTCGTCGTCGTCGTCGTCGTCGTCGTCGTCGTCGTCGTCGTCGTCAGAGTCGCGGCCGCATGCATTATGCAAGCCGTGGGAAATGGACGGACGCGAAATGTCTGTCGCGGGTGTAACCCGATGCCCCCCTCCCGCTCGGCCGCCGCATCGGGGATGAACTTGATGCGGCCGGTGCAAAAAGGACGAGCCGACCGACGAACGGCCAAACGAACGATGCGCGGGAGGGCTAAGAGATTTCCCAGAAGAGATTTCGAGTGGCGCTGTCGCCACCGACGTCGCCTCCTCCGCCACCACCATCGTCGGCTCCCCGATAGAACACGATCGATTCGCCGGGCTTACGCCCGGCTTCGCTCTTCGATCCGCGGATACGCGCGGTAAAAAGCCTGAAATATTGCGATAACGCCGCCTCTCGCACAGATGTCTCGAGATCGGGTAACTCTAACTAAGCGGCTTCCCGGAAAATGAACCGCTCCGGCAGGGAGCGGTGAGAGAGGAAGAGAAGAGGCTGAACGGCGCGTTACTTCGATTTAGGGGTGGGTCTCGCGGCGAAAATGCCAGTCCGCGTCACGTAACGCGCCCGGTCGTTTGATGAATCAGCGAGGCCCTCATAGATGTTTCACACGGTCCCGTAAAGATATTGGACGGACGGTGTGTGGGGAGTGTCGCTGTGAAACGGTTATGGCTCGTCTTCTGCCGGCGCGTAAAACCCCAAGCCGGCGATCTCCAAGTGCGCACGTACAAATGCGTGTCTGTACAAAGACTAGTGCGCCGAGTAGCGCGGGTAGAGATCGCCCTCGGGCTCGAGAGCTCGAGATTGCGGGGGAATCACACGCTACATCGTGCACGGCGGTGCCAGCGGAAATCGCGGGGGCTGTAGCCCGCAGACGTCCGCGGGCTTCCGTTCGGCCGTAAAACGAGGGTGGATCGTTTCCGCTTTCCGGCGCGGCGAGAGCGATATTCGGCGGCCGTGCGCGCCTTGCTGACGCCACTCTGGCACTTTTTAATCTATTTTAATTTCTAACGTTGCGCCAGCCGGCTTCGCGACGATTTATGCTTAGCAGCAGCGCCGGCAACGGCGGCCGCACGGCGGCGGCAGCAGCCCACCCGGATGCAGCGTACGTACGTGCCTATGGGACTGCCGCGTGTTTTATGTCGGCTAATCTCGTAAAAATTCATGCGAAATAACGCCCATGCTTCATCCGCCTCGCACGTTCTCCGCGCGCCCCCGCACACCGTCGCTCGCCGGGCACGTTTCCCATCGCCCGCGCCCCGCCCCGACCCGCCGAATTTCCGCCCGCCGCTGCCTTGCTTGGCGCGATACTCCCCGCCTCTACCTCTTTCCTAAATGACATCAGTTTCATCAAATGATTCAAGATAACAAAGGGATTTAAAAGGCGATCTAATCGAAAAACTCGATTCGAAGCCGAGAAGGTGAACTTCAGAAAGCCGGCCGTGTTGAAAGATGCAAAGGGTACGCCGCAGAGTCCGTAACTCTAAGGAGAGGATCGACATTTTCACTCTCTCAACACTCTGACGGCCGTCGAAGTCGTCGCGAATACGTAACCTTCACTCTGCCATCGGTTACCGCTTTGTAAAGAGATATTTTCGACATATGTATATATATATATATAACAGGCTCTACATATGTAATTGTAATATCACACGAGGCACGTACAAGTAAATTTATAAGCTCATACACGAAGAAAAGAGTCTCTAGATTTCTCCGAGTGAGATTTCACTCAGAAAGCAGAGTGACCAGCAAATCGAATTCGAATGATCCTTCACTCATAGAGGACGAATCTCCCCGCTATGAATGGTCGAGTGAATACTTTCATTCGGAAATCGAAGAGTGAACCCGACGCACTCCACCCTCGGAGGAACACATTCACTCTAATCGATTGAAACATTCGCCCGGATATGGAGTCAGAATCCGCTGTGAGATCGGGTGAAGCACTCACTCTTGCGTTCCCAAGTGGCGGTATTTTCATTGTCGCTTCGAGTGAAAATACCGCCACTCGAAAATCGTCGTTTCGAGATTCCACTCCAAGGAATTTAGAGAGTATTCGGCCCTTTTGGATGGGACTCTGGGAGGTCTGGGTGACCTCTCGAGGCCCGCCATGGGCAGGCGGAAATTCTTCCGTGACAAATGCGGGATCACGAGAGTGTTAATTTTACGAATGTAAAATGCGAGTGATCATAAGAGAAGCCGAACTTAACGGGAGAAGCGGATCGCTTAACGTGTCGGCGCGAGATAGGGCGAAGGATACGGCTGAAAGGAACAATTGAACTTTCGTTTACCGCGCGGTACCGCTGATGGCAAACTGGAACAAAGGTCTAGCGACATCGCTATTATCCAAGTGAGTCGCGCGGAGTGCGGAGGCGCGCTCTATTTAATCTCCGCTCGTACGAGAGATACACTGAGGATCAATCCGGGACAGCCATCAAGTAATTTAATCTTCACACACGCCATGTCCAACTAAAAGCTGCAACCCCTGCTGCGCCTGTCTGTCGGGGGCAGCCAATGAACCGACACAGATCAAACGCACCGAGCCTTGTTGCTTTGTCTAGCGCTGATAAAGTAAAACATCATTCGTGCAGGAGGTATCGTGGTCCATTTTGGATATAACCATGCAGGTTTGTAATACAGTTTACAAACAGACGGGAACTCGGAACTCGCGTACTCTTCCGCGGCAGAACGATCATCTCTGCACTGCGGCGTGGAAACTCTTCAGCCTCGCGCGTGAATTCTCAAATGGATCATACGGATGTAATTCCTCAACGTGACTTAACAAGCGCGGGTGTTAGGTTAGGTTAGGTTAGGTTAACGATACAAACGAAAAAGTGGCCTAAGGATTTCGCGCGAGACGACTCTCCCGAAGAGCAAGATTCTAACAGAGGTATCCGAGTGAGGTCGTCAAGTTCGAGTCGAACGTCAAGTTCGCCAAGTTACAGCGTCACCCAGTTGCCAAACGCTACGCGTGTCGTTCGTCACACAGAAAAGTTGCCGCTGTGTTAGAAAGTCGGCGATGTAACGCACTCATTCGAGCGACAAAAGGCGAGAGAGAGAGAGAGAGAGACAGAGAGAGAGAGAGAGAGAGGGAGGGAGAGGGAGAGAGAGAGAGAGAGAGAGAGAGAGAGGGAGAGAGGGAGAAAGAGAGAGCGAAGCGACGAGAGAGACAGCAGGCGACCCAATTTATCTTGCAAAACTAACTCATAGGCAATTCTCTCGCACGGACTATCGAGGGCGGCTCCCAAGACGTCCATTTACAACTTTGCCCGGGGAAAATAGAGTCTTACGTGCAAGATTTACATCCTGCTTTGTCCCAACACTGCCGTTCGTGTAACTTGCGGAAGCACCCTTTCGTGCGGGCGGCGCCCGCGCGCGTCATACACGCCCCCGCGCATAATGGTCGTGAATTAATAATTCCCGTCGAAGTTCTCCCCGCATGCCCCAAATGTCCCATGTGAAAAGTGTCACGGATCTTGCGCGGTGTAACTAGCGAGCGAGAATCGAATCGATCATTATTCATAGCGCGATCCGGGCGGACGTAACGCCGGCTTTGTTTCTCTCCGCTGAGTGCACGAGCGCGCCGGGCAAAACCACCGTCTTAACACTTGCTCGGCAACATACATCGCCCAGCTCGGCAACAACATTGGAGATGGGTGAATTTTCATCAGATAAGATCGCTCCACGAGGGACCGTTTCTTACGATTATTAAGATGCACCATAGTTAGTCGGGCCACCTTCCCCACAAACCTCATATTTGTGCTGTTTCAGACAATTATGTAAAACACAAACACAGGCCGGTATTTGTAGTCTTACTCTCCAAAAGTGAATCAGTGAAAGTCACTCAGTCAATCAGTGCATAATCGCTGACTTTTAGAGAGTAAGTTCTTAAAAAGAAAAATTGTCACTGCCACGCGTGTGCCAACGCGGTCCTAAGAAATGTCGATCAATTTACGGAATATCTCGAACAGCCGTATATCCTGCCAATTTTTAGCGACTTAGCTTCGCGTTGCGATCGCGAGTTAAACATGCCCCCCAGAAGACGGTTTAGAAGTAAGAGACGACGTTTTAATAGTAAGAACACAACATCCGGCAACGGGACGTGGAGATTAACACATCGCCCGCCCTGTTCATCAGCCACGTCCGCGTCGTCGCTGCTTACGACGCACTTGGCGGCCGCCGTGTTCGATTTATATCCACTTCCAGTCCGGAACGGGGACGGCTCTCCCGCGCGCTGAGAGAGCGTGGGAAAACCGCCCCTCGCTCAGCGGATCACCGGCACTCACGACGCCCGCGTAAATGACGTTCCCTGTTCGCGTTTCTTCCAGGTACACCGAGCCGAAGCGCTACTCGTCCAACGGCCGGGACATGACGGTGGTTTTAAGACGCGCCTCCAACAGCCCCACCGACGAGGAGTATATGGAGGTCTCGTACTACTTCCACGACGGTAAGCTATACGTCGCGCGTCCCTGTGCTCGTAAAAAGAGCGCCGTCGACGGACGACGAAACGTCGACGGAGTCGCGTCGCGAAAGCGTGCCGCAGTTACCGCGCGCGGACTCGGAGAAAAATAGAAGGAAGGTTGCACGCTAGAAATTGTATTATAAGGCGCATCCGCCGCGCGGTCCCACAATCAAGCCCGCGTGTAAACGCCGCGAAATCGCAAAAAGCTCGTCAACTTTTTCGCGCGGCACTCCATCGCCGGGTACAGCTTGCTTTTTGTTCGCCGTTACGAGTTACGAGCGCAATCGCGTTCTTTACGCGCCCCCGAGAAGCTTCCTCATTTTATGCCCCTGAGCGGAGGGCTTAAAAAAGATCGCGCAGTGTGATTTATGTATAATTCGGTGTCTTCCCTAAGCACCGGAGATTCCTCGGATAGTAGAGAAGAGAGCTTGTGTATAGCGGATGATAAAAGATTCGATTCTTTTCCAAGCGATTGTCCAAGCGCATTATGTCTCTCCATTCCATGAAATATCAAGGCAAGCTGGGCATTCTTATAAAAAATTCTGATCTCCAAATATTTAAATTAATCACAAATAAATATTTGAATTATTCAAGTATTTTAATTAGACGAATGTTTCATGAGTCACGTACGTGGCACCCGAAGCGTTCCGATCCGATTTTAGAACCTACCAACGTTTGCGATAATCCCCTCTGTGCAAAACGCACGCGCGCAGAGAACGGGAGTTCTCTATCGAGCGCGTTCGATTGTCACAGGCTATGATGATAGCATTGGTATCATCTTCATAATCGGCACAATTTGCGTTCACCTCGGCCGCCGACATTCGATCGGTCGAATTGGCGTTTTTGCCCGCAGCTTTTCGAGCGGTCGACTGCGACGCGACCAAACCGCTAATTACGAGTAACTAATTACCGTAAATACGCCTCGGCATATCGATGTCAAAGCCTCGGTGCCCCTTAATCGGATGAACATAGGCACGTCCGGACTGGTAATCCCGAAATTCGCTTGGCACTCGGCCGAGGATCCTCCGGTTGGCCGCCGGAGGACACATTCGCAATATCGACGCGCGTCGCCGCAAAAACACAGCGGTCGTGTTTAATCCCGTTTCAAAGATTAGATTTAACCCCGATTAAGTAGCTACCGAGAGAGAGAGAGAGAGAGAGAGAGAGAGACCCTCCTTGGCCGGGCAATTCTGGAGATTAAAATGGGAGCCCGGTTACATTACGCTCACGTTGGATTACTCGTAATTATTCGCGGCCGCGCATAGTTCTCTCGCGACCGTTACGACTATTTTGTTGCGTAAAACCAGACTATCACAAACGAAAGGCTCGATAGAGCGGCCGCGTGGCGAACACGAAACCCAAATTTTCCAAATCGAGAGATCGGACAAGCAACGCGTGTTTGTGGCAAATTTTCAACGCAAACTACCCCTATGCGAGATTCCCGCGAGTGTCCGCGAAATAATTGCCTTCGGTTTGGCGTTACTGTTCAAGAGATTTACAATTTGTTCAAACGAGCGCAATATTTCCGCCCTGTCGTCTTCCCGCGCAAATTTACATGCCACCAAAAATTGGAAATTAATATCGACCTCTCGCGTACAAGCGCGCGAGCGTTCCCCCGAGCGAGCTAATAGCGCGGGAAATAAAATTTTAGTGGGCGAAAACAAAAACACGAACGAGCAACAATAATTGAATTTTGATATCGATGAGATTTTAAACGTCGGTCGAATTTTACGGCGCATCATATCGACATCACATTCCCGTTCGGGGGCGGGCATTTTTTTACGCTGCCTATAAAACGGTCACGGCGCGGCGCCGCCGCGCCGTAACATCGACTCGGGGCTACACCGATCGTACAAGCGAGCGACACGCGCGGATTCAGTCGCGCACTGTTATTAAAAAAAGGCGTAAATGACGGGAGAATCAAAAGTCGCCGCGTCCGGGCGTGCGTGCGTGCGTGCGTGCGTGCGTGCATGCGTGCGCGCGCGCGACGACGACAAACTGCCGACGTCGATTGGACGGTGATTGACGAGTGACCGGTGCGCGACGTTATTACATTTACACGCGTTACACATGTTACGTACGCGCGCGTGTGCGCGATATCTCGTTCGCGCGGAGCGATCGATCGATAAAAGGACAGTTGTTCGAGATGGGGAGGCTGTTCGGCCTCTTAAATAACAACGTCGTATTTTTAAGCGATAAATAAAACGACCGCGCGCGTCTGAATCGACCTCGACTTTGTCCCCGTCGGCTCTTTTATTCCGCGTCCGTACCGGCGTTATCCTGACAAAGCTACCCCCCTCTCCCCCCCACTCGTCGTTTCCCCCCGTCGCGCGGCTGTGCGCTTCTTTTTTTTTTATTTTTTTATAGAGCACCTCGGCGACCATTGAATACGGAGAGATCGGACGTTTTCGGTCTCTCGGAATTCCCGAGCCTACCTTATCTCGCGCGCTCGTGAGTACGATCCGCTGGAACATAAAACTTTATGCGATCCGGAGAGACCGATTTCCTACGACGGGAAGGGTCGAATTCAGCCCGGTCGACCTCGAACCGCGGCGAATAATCATGTGAAATTGCCGTGTAAGAAACGGAATGAGGAAATTCCGTCTGCGCCCGGTGAACTTTGGCGAAATAAAAGTGCCCGTAGGCGCTGATCCGTCTATAACTCGCAGAGATGTATGTATGTGTGTGTGTGTGTGTGTGTGTGTGTGTGTGTGTGTGTGTGTGTGTGTGTGTGTGTGTGTGTGTGTGTGTGTGTGTGTGTGTGTGTGTCTCGCTATATGTTCGAGGAGAACTCAGTCTCTCACGTAGAAGAATTATTCCAAAAGGCACAGAAAGAGAATGTTACGAGTTTCATGGGAGTTTCGGTGGGCGGAAGTCGCGATGATAAAATGAGAAGTATCTTAAATACTTAAGAGATCGTCATCTGATAAATTCTCGAGCAACGATCTCCTCGGTTGAGATCTTCGGACTAATACAGATATAGAGCAGTAAGCCGCGTGCTTGTTACGTCAGATTTTTTATGTTTCTTTCCTCATAACTTATTAGCTTAGACTTGCCGGATTCGTGATACGTATTTGTTACACTTATACAACTTATCATAAAAAACATATCAAATATGATATCAAATCATATCATATCCAAATATCACATCAAATTCATAATGTGATAATGTCATAATAAACATATCAAGAATTATCGTAATAAGCGTATATCGCAATATCATGATAAATATATCAATAATTCATATCATGGCAAATATATCAAGATGAAATGTCAAGAAACCTATATGGCGCTCTTTCGCGCGTATCGACTAGATCTCCTGTTCGATTATTGCGAGATGTAAGTTGCAAGATGTAAATTGCACGAGGCGACGCTTGTCCCGACACCTCCATAAACAACGTATTTTCGTCTGATGCTACAGAACGCGAGGGTGGCACTCAGCAACCGGCCAGCGTGTGCGACGTCGAATATTATGGACTGACGTCACCGGTGGAGGGTTCGGTGGTGCATCCGGAACCGCACCGATTATTCGCCATGGAAGGTCCGGTGAAGTGCAGGCAGCACTTTATACCGGCGCCCAACCAGTCGGTGGTCATTACTGTGAGTTCTCGGCGAAATGTTTAATCTGTGTCGCGCATTTAATCGGTCACGTGGATTGAATCCGTGAATTTGCTCGGTGAGGGAGAGGTGTTAAGGACCGCGCGCGCGCGCGCGCGCGCGACCATGGATAAAAACTTTCGCATTAGAGTCACTCGGCTAAAGAAGAGAACGCCACGTTGGTGAACACCCGTCGGATACGCGAGCAGGGATTTTATTCCGCCTTTCGTCCGAAAACTAAAACTTTTAATCTACGTTCGGCGCGCGGCGCGAGTGCAAAAATTCCCCCGTCTCACCCCTCCAGCTCGTCCGCCGTTTAATCCACGTTTAAATAATATTCCGTGGGATCAGACGGCCCACGAAGGCGAAACAACGGCCCGACGTTCAGCGAGTTTCCAGCAACTCTCCCGAAAACGACTAAATCCAACGATTGAATTCCTCGCGGAAGCACACCGGCTGTAATCCCGTGCTGAGCGATACCCGTCGCATGCGCGTTACGAATTCGTCGCGCGACTTTAATCCCTCGTGTTGCTCTCACATAAATTGTCCTCGCAATAATATCTCAGGATCTCTCGCAAATCAGTCGTACGATTCCGAGTCGAGATTCTGGTTCTACGCGAAAATTTCACAAACATTAAGTAATACAATCGAGATTAATTCATAAATAAAAGGAATATTTCTTTTCATGATCTCCTTTGCTGTTAAAGTTTAAAATTTCACTAGAATTGGCAGATTTAAAAAAGATAAAACGCGGAAGAAATTGCAAAGGCAAAGGCGGCGTATTCGTATTTCGAGAAACGTCAAGAGAGATTTAAATTTCTCTTCAATGCAACAACAAGAGTAAGGAGAAATGAAAGAGAGACGTTAGCAAATTCAAGACAGAATTCGTTGCCCCAAGTTATTAGAGGCGCATTACTTTTTACCAGTATTTGCGATATATATTTTAAATGTCGACTCGGGATACTTTGATAACATATTCTGCTGCTCGATAGAGTTGAAAATCCGAGAATCCTCGACGAAATTATCGAATTCATCATATAGTTTCGAGTTATAAAAGATTAAAATTAATCAACCGTTGATCACCGTTGATTACAATTCCACTGTAATATAAATGTGTTGCGCGGTCATCACGCAGGAATCATGTGTAAACAATTGATAACGAAAACCGCGGAATTAAAGATTTTCATTTTTTATTTATCTTTATATTTTATTTATTTAATAATTTTTATATATAAATATATAAAGATATTCTATTCCGATCAAGCTGCAGAATACGCTATTAGGAGCAGTGTATAACTGCTTTTACTTCTTTCGCCAAAAGTCAATGCAATTTGCGTGCATGCATTATATAATAACGTGACGCTTTGTGAGCGTCTAAATGGCACGCTCACCATTTCATGTAGAAATTCGACGATATCCAGAGTTAGGCCCACCGTCGAAACCCGTCGCTGCATCCGTTCAGCAACCATCAGCATTCTCAGCGTCATTGAACGTCCCACGTTGATTTTACTTCACTCACTTTGTAATACTCGCGACCGCGATCACTTTAAAACGGCAGTTCAAATTTTAACGAACATTTAGTGATTTTACTACCCTGTTTTAAATTCCGGTATTTATAAAAATATAAGCGAACCGTATGTGAAAATATCGTGAACTGGAAGTCATTCAGATATTATCTTTGGAATATCTACAGAAACGGAAAAAACATTCCGTTTTGTTAGCCGACGAGTATAATTGTCAACAAACGCGATTTTCGTCTCGGGAGATTTTCGAATTTTTAAATAAACGATAAATTTCTTTTTATTTAATTCAGCGAGTATATTTGTGATAACGATTTCTGCGGTATTTTATGAAATTCCAGCGCTTTGAGGAAACTCGCAAATCGCATATGAAAATCTACGGACTGCAGATCGCGACACTATCTTTCGGACAAAACGAAAAAAAATGAGGAAGCACTCAATTTCGTGGACGATTACAATTGTTGACAAACAGGATTATCGTTCTGCGAGATTTTCAATTTTGTAAAAAAAAACGACAAATAGACATATCGAATTCAAAATATATTGGCGATGACGAGTTACTATGTCACTTCAAACACGTGTCGCGCGGCGCAGATTGCGTGTAAACAATTGTTAATGAAAACTATGAAATTAAAATCCGCGAAGAAAATACGTAAATTTCTCGTGTGGTAGCGCAATTTTAGTGTGCATCATATATGCAGCTCAAATCAATTAGGGAATTATAGTCAATGAATAGTTGAATAATATATAGTTGACTGATTTATAATAAAGGATAAAAATCCTTGGCAAATGTTAATACATATGTAAGAAATAAGTTAAAATTTTAAGTATGTATTGAAAAGAAAATATAATTCAAGAAATTATTCCCTGATTGTATCGAGCAGTGTTTCGTTCAACAATACACAAACACAGAAAACCCCGTCTTGCAAAATATATGAACAAGGTAAATTGCATTGACTTTTGCGAAATATTACAAAGACCTCTACCACATTTCTATCATCTCTGAATTATTATTCTTTTTGACTCACCGATTTAAGGCTGGCCACGTTCTGCTACGTCGTTCTGTAATAAAAAATATAAACATCGCAGATTAAAACTCGACTCGATGAAAATAAACTCGGCAAAATTAAAAGAAAAATTAGGCGCATGTTAGCTCTTTCGATCGTAATTCAACGGATTATTTCTAGAATTTTATTTCAATATTCGATTACAAAGAATTCAATAGAATGATAAACAATTAAATCTAATTTCAAATAGTTTCAGAGACTTTTGCGGTGTAGAGAATAGTTAAATAATTAATTAATACAAAATGCTTATAAGTTTACCTTCGTGCCAGCCTTGTTTGGCCCGAACCGGATCCTCCGGTACAGCACTCGCATTCACAGGAACGCCATCGAGAAAACTGCTGCTGCTGTAAAGAGTTAAACAGAATGATAAATAATTAAATATGATGTTTTATACTTTCGCGATGTAGAGAAATATTTAATTTGGATGTCCGGATTGATATCGTGTCCATCGTAGATTTTATTTCCGACGTTTCGTAAACAATCTTCTCTAGTTGTTCTCCTTGAAGAAATAAACTGGAATGCTTACGAAACGTCGCAAATAAAGCCATGATGGATGAGGTACCGAGCCGAAAACTACAAACTAAATAGTTAAATAATATAAAGAGTCTATGATTTTACCTTCGAGCCGCCTTTGTCCAACCCGAACCGGATCCTCCGGTACAGCATCCGTATCCGTAGAAACACTATTTGCAACTGTTTCTCTTGCGTCGTGCTACGTGACCCCTGAGCGCGCGACCAAGACTGTTTACATCAGAGCGTGACTCGCTCGACCGAACGCTTGACTTGTTTCATTATTTACCATTCCACACATGCGATATGTGCGTGTACGTGTATACCTATAATAATATTAATGTTGAAGTAAACACTGTAATGTTGTAGGTAAATACTATTTTAATATTAACACTAATATTTTATATGATATCAAAACGCTAATATTTCAGTATTAATATTATAGATACTATTCCGCATTATTTTACTGTTGCTTTTATTTTACTATATTTTACTATTACTATTCCGCAAAATATTGATGGTATTATTAGTACTATTACTAATCTTTTAATACACGTTCCGGTGGAATTTGACCCATATTTTTATACGCTGTACAGCCATCGATTATTAAAATCTAGTAATTACGAAATTCCAGTTCTCATCTAAAAATTGAAACGAGCAATAAATGGCGCATCTCGAGTCGCAATTTTGTTTCCGCATTAATCCTGCAAATTCCGTTGAACTTGCGAAGTCAATCTCAAGATATATTATGCACACTACTCTCTTATTTTTCGATATCACAAATTATCATTACCTACTACCGCGTTTCCCATATTGAAGCTTAAAGAAAAATCTATTCCCGAATTATTTAATATTCAATTATTTTAATATTCTACATTTAATTATTTCTTAATTTTGAGACAAAGTATTAATTATGATTTTATCGGCCCTACAAGGTCGATTACAGGCTTAATGTAGAAGCCAAATTTCGAATTACATAGCTCGAAAAGAATTTAACATTGTTTCACGTCGTACCTAACATACAGATAAACCCAACTGTGAGATGCAAAGTTTCTTTCGAATTCCTTTCCTTTCCACCTCGTTTCGTTTCCGCCATTCTCTCCCCGGCCCCTTCTGCTCCTGCAGATTTTTATCTGCAGTGTTAGACCACCTGTGTCTTTATTCGCAGGTAAAAGGTAGCACGAAACAGACCCCGAATAATCCATGCGAGACCAAGTGCGGCGACAGTGGCTGCCACTGCGTCAGCAAGTCCCTCGAGAATATGGACCACCTTCTGCTCGTCTCCGAGACCGGTCACATTGTTACCTGTCTCTGCGGAAATTACCAGGTAAACGTACGAGATGGCAAGAGCTGCGCTAGTGCCGCCGAATGAGCATCCGAATAACGCGCGACGTCTTACGCCAATACTGTCTTTCTCTCGCCTTCTCTCTAGCTTCCTGAATGCGGCGAGATAAAAGCGATCGTTACTACCGCGACTTTTATATCTCTGCATTGTCATGCGAACACGCCAGCAATGTCGTTAAAATATATCGCTCGCGATATACGCAATTTTCCGCGCACGAGTAGCTGTTATTCTCTTTGTGCTCGTTATATCGTTCTTAGCGGGGGAGACGGGTCTTTCTTTCAAAGAAAATTCTCATTGTGCGCGCGCGACGTCTTAAAAATCCGAGCTACATCATCGTCGTCGTCGTCGTCGGCGTCGGCGTCGTCAATAAAGTGAAGTCTCATAAATCAGTTTCTTACGCAGGGAAAAGATTGTTTCGGAAGATTAATTCAAAGCGGTACATGCAACATTATTTTTAAGATACCCGCGCGATAATGTCAATAATGTGACCCGATCGCGATTATCGTCGGATCGATGCGCGTACAAAGAAATGAAACCGCGAAATGCAGAACGGATGTCGTCACGAGATGGAAAATCCGTTCGCGCGATTTAACAGTGGCGTTGCATTACGTTTTGTCGGTTTACCCGAGGAGTCTTCATGCTGAGAGCGACGAAGTGAGAGCCGTAGGAGCCGTCAACGCTAGATAATTTATTCAACGCGAAATATGTTAGCCGCAAACCTCGCACACATGCCATAAACCGACATGCCTGACTTTGACTGTATCCACATGATGATTATTAATAGGCATATTATCAGATTACCCAATAGAGCGTAATCGTTATAACGACTCTATAAACGCTAATACAATTTCGATTCTGGGATCATCGTTTCATATTCAAACGCTCGTTATTTCAGCACAATTGAGGGCTATCGCGCGAACTGCAATGTAAATAGCCGACCGAATCTGTATAATTGCACTGTACTGCAGAATTAAACGCAACGTCCGCGACTGCGATATAATATTTAAGCGCGCGCGTCTGCCCGAAGAGGAACGTATAGCGCTCATTCTTTTTTTCAGGAAACGACGCGACCTTAACGAGATTCGATGACGAGTCGCTCCCTTTCCTCCCTTATCGCCCACAGCCGATTTTCATCGGCGATCTTCGTTTCAGCTTTTTTCTTATCGCCGGGCGCTCGCTCTTCTTACTTCCCGTCGCGTCTTTTAGTCTCCTTCGGTCGCTACCTGCTGCCATTTTCCACGCGATATCCCTCTCCGCCTTCATTTCATCCGTCTAACGGAGCCTATTATCGCGCAGGACTGGCTTCCGGTGGGCATCCGTAGCTGGACTCCGGTCTACATCGAGTGGTCGAGATCGTCGAGAGCGGGCCTCAATTTCCACGCGGCCTACAAGTTTGTCAATGACACTTACTGCGGCGATCACACAACGGCGGAACCGGAAGGCGAGGTCAATGGCGGTGATCTGGCGAGCGCGGGGTTGAAGCTGAATCAGTATTACCAGCAGAAATGCACCTGGATCCTGGACTCGCCGATCGATCGGCAGCTCGTCATCGAAGTCAAGTCCACTCAGAGCCGTAAGCAGCACAGCACGTGTCTACAGCCTATGCTGTAAATTACACCGGCGAAATCTACTCGCGGATTTGTCTCCTTTTACTTCGTAGCCGTAGATATCCCGCTTTTTCCTGCGGGAACCGAAAATTCCATCACGCTTCGCAACCTTTGTTTGATTTTTTTTCCTTTTTTTTTTTTGCCGCATTGAACGTCACGGTAATTCCAGAGCACGAATCGATATTCCGAATTTGAAACACGATTCCCATTCGTTCGAGTTTAATAGACGCACAATTTGCAGATCTAATTGTTACTTATCATATTACATTGCGTGTATAATAGCCAGAAATTTGCGCAACCGCGCAAATATATTCGTCATATGATTCGCTAACGATTGTACTCGCCATTTTGCAGCTTCATGTTTATTACGTTTGCGAAGTTTCTTGCTCCGTTTCTTCTAGTCGGAAAGAAAGTAATAAGCCATCTTTCATGAATTTGTTAGCTCGCGATTTCATGTCTCGCGAGGAAAACTGGGGACCATTTAAGAGTACGAAAATGATTTATCTAGGCGGACCTATCTACGTCTCCCACGGGAACGTTTCGCGGACGATTTATCTTCGAGCGATATTAAAAGAAAACAGAAAGCAGCTGCGTGCCGAAGCGGCGTATCTCTCTCGTGGATCTCAGACATTAAGAATCCCATGTTGCTACAATGCAATTAATTTCCTCGCCATAACAAACCTGTTGATAGTTGCAATAAAACCGCTTCAACGTGACGTAAATATATGTCGCAGAATTTTTGTAGATTCAACCTAACCTAACAATCATATGAAATACCTTCTGCAATTCTACGAGCAATTCTCGTACATCGCTTTACATAATTAATTTACGGACTAATATTATACGTTATATAATTTCTCAAGAAAAACGGAATTATCTCGATCGTAACTCCTAACCTGAAATATGCAATCGTTCCGAAAGATTCTCTCTATCTAACGAAGAGTTGTTGCTTACAGACAAACAACTCGTTTTGATATACAAAAAATGCCGTTCACTTGTATATCAAAGAACATCCCCTTCGGACACAATTCAAACGAGTATTAAAAGAAAACAGAAGCGAGCAGTTTCCCGCGAATTAATGTATGCGTGCATAGTATATCTCGTTTGTTAGATCTATATATATATTAGATATAGAGAGAGAGAGAGAGAGAGAGAGAGAGAGAAAGGAAAAAAAACAACATACCTTTCTCGATTTATCGTTGCTCCTAACGACGTTTTCTTTCTTCTACCGCCGTCAGACTTTTATTTTCATAAGCGCGAATTCTATTCGAAGTCTCTCTGGCGCGACGTCTCTCTGGCGCGGATACGAGAGGAATTCTATTCCAATCCTAGTCTCGGGATCTGCGGCCATGAGAAAAACAGAGATAGATCATCTTCGGAACGACGCGCGCGCACGCCGTCTCTGTCGACGATGGCGGCGGACAAGGCAGAGAGACACGAGAGAGAGGGAGATAGAGAGAAAGAGAAATCTCCTTTCGATTGCTTTTCTTCGCGAGGCCGTCGGAATTTCCGTCCGCGCCATTGATTCCGTCTCGTCCTCGTCGCAGTCGTAGTCGCGATAGAACGCGAAAGTTCCAGAGAATAGAAGTCGAAGGGAGAGGACACGTCGTAACCTAGTCGCCGCGGCACGACGAGGGACGACGGCGAAACGAACGGCAGCGGGTCGCGAGATTAAAGAGACCATAGGATTTACCGCGAGACTGCGACAGACAGAGAAAGAGAACTAGAACTCCACCGTGTGGAAATCATTGTCCTCCCTCACCCTTTTTCTCTTACCTCGGCATTTCTTCCTCCGCTCTGTTCCGTCCGTCGTAGAAAGGCGCGCTTTCCTTCGCGTTCGGCGATCGTTTCGCCAGCGCGACGACAGCGCCGCCACTTCCGCGTCGCCGACGCCGCGCGCGTATATTTCGAATATTTGAATGCGGGAATATCACGATATCGAATCTTCATGAAGTGAATAAAAATAAAGTGTGAGGGATATTGTATCCTTCGTCATGGAACGCGCATGCGATACACATGCGTACACACACATATGCAGATGTTACCTTCGCTTACGCGTGATGCGTTATTTTTTTCCGACCACAAGAGAAGATAAAACGGCCAGGAAAAAATGATTGTGTATGAATTATATATGAATTTTGTCTATATATGCCTATATATTGAATTGATCGGTATCTTCGCCTTCCATTTTTATCAAAAAATTCAGAGGAATTTTCTAAAATCAACTCGATATAATCACATATAATTATATATATATATATATATATATATACAATACATAAGGAAAAACGATATTGTCCTAGTACTGAAATTGTTACTTATATTTGTGCCAGCTTGTGATGTCGAAATTTAATTGGCTGAAACCATTCAACTATTTTTTTTTTTCATTGAATTTATATAATTATATATGTAGTCGAATAAAAACAAAATTCATATGTAAGTATCATATATAACATTTGAACCTTTTATATAATCATATATATATATATAATATTTTTCTCAGAGCAATCAAGCTTTTTCTCAAGACTAATGGAACGGCCCGCGATTTTTGTCATCGCTCGCGCGCGATTCGCAAAGCCACTCGATATGTTACTAATATTCCACGCTCTTGTTGTCTCCTGAAGCCTTCAACGGCGAGTGGCGCGAGCGATCGATGCTGCGAGATGCATGTACATATGCGGTGATGCAGTGACCCGTTCCTACGTACATACGCGAACATACACATGGCAGCGCGCCGCTCTCTGTATCAGAACACTCTCTGCGATGTTTCAAGAGGAGAGGTGGTTTTATCGGTTACCCCCCTCCCCACCCTGAGTCACGAATAGATGATGGAGATACGAACAAGGCGAGAGGAGCACGGCCACGCCGGTAACGCCGGGCCATCGCGGGGGATGCAGCACTTAGGAATATTAACTAAGAAGAAGAGCGAGATATTGAAATCGCCGCGACGCACGCGGAAACTTGGGATTTATGCGGCGGCTTGGACGCGCGGATGATACGAAGAGTTTTCGCGCGTAAAGCGAAACGCGCTTCCCCGCCCCGTCCCGTCTCGAACAACGATCGCGCTCGCGGTGTTAACTGTCCTGTCAAGGACAATGCGGAAACGAGTCGCATTATCAGATGAATTAACTTGGCCGGGACTTGGCGAAGGATCCCGTGTTAAAAGTATTCTCACTTTGAACACGAGAAGCTTCGGCGAATCGAATTACTCCGACGACGGCAGCCCTTCCGCAAGCTCGCCTATGGAAATCGCCGACTAGCCGTGCGCCGGCTCCCTCGTCTGCTCGTTTCCCTGTGCCTGCGCCTTTTTCATTTTCTTCCTCCTCGCCACCTTACGGGACATTATGAGCGGAGTCGGAACCGTAACCAAAGCCCCGCAAACGCTGCCACCGGAAATGGCTTTAATATACCCCTCATTCTCTCCCTTTCTCTCTCGTTTCCTCCACGTTTCCCCCGCCGTCTTCACCCGCCCTTCTGCCGCTCCGCGGTGTCGAGAGAGTCGCTCTTCTTGCGAAATTTTGTCGTCGAGCGCCGCATTTTCCGGCATAACAGGTTCACCGCATTCACGGACAACAAGAATCCCGGCAATGAGCATTCTTACAATTAACCCACTTGTGTGCGCGCGCGCCCGCCCGCGTGCGTCATTGTTTCTTGCGGAACGTTGCGGAATGTAAAAACGAGGGAAATATCTCGGCCCGGCCGCGGTCCCGGTGTAACGAACCGTAAACTAACATTTGAACGGCGACATTAAGCACGATCTTTCGTCGCTTAACGTCGCTTAACGCCGGCAGTCAATTCTCGAGAGCCACGACGTCGAGTCGAATGAACGTCGAGCAAGCAGTCAAATTGTGTATGGAGTAGAAATTAATACGTTCAATTAAGTCACATGCGAGCTCGAAAGAAGAACATCGGAAAACGAAAGAAACCGAGCAGACGTTAAGCGAGGGGAAATTGCAGTAAATGAAATCGAGAATACCTAAATGAGGGTCTTTTTGCGAGTCGAGCATCTTGCGCGAGTCAGTCTGAAATCGAGATTTCGAAGAAAGACGTCGCCGAGAATTTCACGACGTGCGCTGACAACGTCTTTTCGCACTTAGCGGGACTTCGTCAGCACGAATCTCACGAGAACCACCTTCTAACGAATTAAATCTCGAATGTTCTTTTGAATATTCAAACACAGCGCGCTCCGTCGTGTTCGAATTCGCCGCGCGTGACTCGAATCGGATCGTCGCGAAATCGAGATACTTGTTTTGCAACTTCTTAACGCGCAACCGTGACGCTTGCATGATAGCGTAACGACATTCAACGGCAATGTTGAACTGTGATGTTAAAAATCATAGAATAAGCGCGCACAATAAGGCAAAATTATTATCGGTCGCGATCATGTCCGTTCATTGCGGCGCTTCTTCTGCCTAACAGGACCCTGCACGGCGTGGAACCTCACGATTCACGAGTACCGGAAGGACGGGGACCCGGCCGGCCCCAGACTGCACACGTTCTGCTCGAGGGACACGCACAAGAATTTCACCCTGCCGTGGAAGATGAATACCGCGGTGGTTAGGTGAGTTTCTTAACCGGCGGGACCGATTAAGACCCGGCGAAAGTTTCCGCCGCGATCTTGTCTATTAGCTACGGTTAACGACAGTTTCACGACAGTTTCGACGGGAGATTATGACACGGTCCGTTGAAACATAAGCGCCGTTTTGCGCGATGACGAGGACGAGGGCGAGGCGAAGGATCGGAGTAGGCCGAGCGTGCGCTCGCATAAAACCGACGATTGATGCCGGCGCGATCCGTAACTGTCGTCTCGCGGGAAGAAATTCCCGTTAATCCGCTGATTAACAATCGGCCATCGTTCATCGCTCCTTACGACGTCAATTCCGGCGTTACGATCGGCGCCGGCACCACTCGTCGTTCTGTAATCTGCCAGATATAAAGAAAAATGTGCTGAAACGAAGAAAGGAAGAAAGATTCTCTCGTCCGCGACGCGATGGTGGATACAGTTAAATCAAAGAACGACAGAGTCATTCTTATGGTATTTCCGGATAAACGAACATATCTTTCCCTTTACGGTCGGAGGGAGGAAATATACATGAAGACGCTCGTAATCCGTAACGCCAATATATCATTAAATATACATCGATACATTCGAAGAGGCAGATATGGCTCGCTCGTATATATATTTTTTCATTTCTCCATAATTTATTGTCGGATTTATCGGATCAGAAAGATTGTCAACTTCTCGTTGACAAATAAAGACAAACATTTATATGTCGTGATAATAAAGAGTAAAAGCTCCATTGTTAATTTGTACCGCTCGAAAAGGAACTTCTCTGTCATGTCATTAAATTATATCATACATTTTCGAGAGATAAAAAATCTTCCGACCTAAGATGAATAATCGATGTTAATTACGGCTGACTTTGAATATCCGAGGTCAAATTTGCAACCGAAAAAGAAATATCGCATAGAGCGCGCAAAAATTAGAAGAAAACGCGTTAAATTTTATTCAATTTTTTTTCATTTATGAAAAATAGGTAAAATTCATCGAGCTGAAACTTTCGCATAAATAGCATATTACAGCGTGAAATTGTTAATTACGAAATATAGTTTCGTAATGTAAATTTCAATTTTTACGAAATTACGCAAATATAAATCGGAATCCGTGGAATGTTAACATTTTTTATGAAGTTCGTCAAATTACTTTGCATGAGCGGAAAATCAGAGACATAATTTATATTATTTGAAAGCATAAACTTTCCTCTGTAACTTGCATATGCGCATATTTTAGTACGCGGTGGTCTTTTTCAGTTGTTCACTGTTGAAATAAAAACTATCCTTTCATTTGATACCCGTTCGATGAACGAATGAATGATAAACGAATGAATTGTCCGTTAAAATTAAAAATGAATAAAGAGGTTAAAATTCTCTCTTTCGAATGCATTCATATTATAATTTAGTTTAATAAATATAATTTTTTCGATATAAAAACTTAATTGGAAGATGAAATTGAACAAACGCCACTTCTTATTTAATTCAATATATCTTAACGATAAACGATAATATTATAAATTTAATATATCTGGAAAGTGGAAGCTCTAACCTCTTTAAAATATTTCTCGAATCATCTCGAGGTATCACAATTTTTGCAACAACTACAGCTCGTCGTAATTCGTCTATCTTTCACATTTGAGGAAAATTCACCTCTACTTTGTAAATTTTAGTTTAATAATAAATAATAATTCATCTTAATAGAAGTAAACATAAAAACGACTCGATTCACCGTTGCACTATATTATTCAAACGAAAGACCTGACTTACTGCTGAATCGTTGAAATTTGAAGATGAAAAGCGTCTGATTAGTCACTGATTAGTTCAGTTGTTGTCTCTTCAAGTCTTGTCGTTGAGTCAAAGGTCTTTTTAGCCTCCAAAACTAATCTTCTGCAATAACTTCCTTTTACCTCTGCTAAATTACTACTCAGCCCGCCCGCCATGACAAGGTGCGCGGGTGGCAATGACGTCCTTGGCGCCATCTATTGGTATATCGAGTAATAATTTATTTCCAAGTAACGTTTAAGCTCGAGTAAGTAGCCAATAAATGTTGCTTATAAAAGGTTCGAGTCTTGAGTAGGTGCATTAACTCTCAGTTCCAAAGTCTCCGCTGCAAGCCACCATCAGTATCGAAGAATCGAGGTCGTAGTTTTGCCGTATAAACTTGTATTAAAAACAAAAAAAAAGAATTCGGAGTCGTAATAGTGACCAAGCGGAAACCACGTATATTTCTCAAGTGGTATGTCTCAACGAATGGTCAGACGCACTCCTCTCTGTTATGCGAAACATAGGCAAAATATAGTATTTGCGTGAAATCGTGAATACTAATTTTCGTGCGCCTGAATAAAATTTAATGCGTTTTCCAGGCTACAAGCTCTCGGTAGGACCGCACCGCAGTACACCATGAGATGGAGGAGTCACATGGCGACGGCCAACACTCGCAAAAGCGGACCATCCCCTGCGCCGAACCACGTGTTGGGCGGCTCGAGTAGAGGCGAACCGCGAGGGAGAGTCATCCTCGTGACGTTCGCGATTCTGCTCGCATGCTCGTACGGTTGTTGAGAACATGAGCTCGCGATGAAACCGCATCTACATACAAAGATACTCGCTCACACAATTATACACGCGTACACACGTACGTTCCTGTTAATCGAACGAGCCTAAGTTAGTAATCCCGTGTACATAAGCGGTGAGGACTCGGAGGAGTCGGTCCTCATTTTACATCGCTCGATGTAAAATGCTCCACGAAACAGCACTGCTATCGATCGAGAGAGCCGAGGTGTTCAGCCGGCTGGGTTCGTTAACCACATGCTGTGTAATCTGCAAGAGAGAAATATTTTACGCGTGCGAAGCGCCCGCGAGAGAGACTCACCCACGCACGCACATGTACACGTACATACACGTACAAGGAACGATATCGAGGACAAATTTTAACTGATTCACGCACTATATTTTTCACTCTACGTACGACTGGATTTTCTTCGCGGTTACTTGGACGGAGGGCTTGAACGAGACGGAGCGGATTGCCGCTTCTGGATCGCGCACCAGACAACGCGGACTTCTAAGAGACGTCTCCCCGGAAGAAACATCAAGCGATCTTGTTACACCAAAATGTTTTAATTTCCCACTTGGCGATACAATTGTCACACGAGTTGCACATCGCACTTGTATCGTCGAGTGAGAAATTATGACATTGACGTTATATGACGTGTGCTGTTATTGGCGTTTACTGAGCTTAGACGGTCTTTTAAAAGTCCCTGCTGTCTGGGTATATACATACTGACATCACGTGTTCATCACATACACATTCGTGCACGTCGGGATTCAGGGAGGACGATCGCGCGTCTGAGTAAGCGCGATTACCTCGTAAAGTCTGCTACGGCTCAGAAGTAACGGAAACGAAAGTTTCGTACGAGGAGAGTTGCATGTCCGTCGTCTAATTTGAGATTTACGATTTTTATCACGTTTCGCACGAATGTTTACGCACGTTGACAGTCATCCGTTTCAACACACCTCATCCTTCTACTCATTACTGTTTCACCGTGGTGTCTCATTCAGTCCAACGTAGAATTCAGTCGTCACACATATTTTCCAAAACGTTTTTATAAATCTATATATATATATATACATATATATATATATATATATATATACACATACATATGGTCTCACGGAATCCTATTGATAAACATGTACAAAAATTGTCACACCGAGATCGCGATTGACTGATCATTTCACCAGACGACGAAATAATGATAACGTGGGAGGAGAGTGGCTTCTCGGCGCGTTTTCACGATCACAATCGCTTTAAGGACTTGGGAAGGAGGGCCCAGGGAGAGTGGCGCACGTGTATATATTATACATATATGAAGAAGAAATTAAACACATATGCAGAACGCGATGCACGGATTTGAAGAGTAGAACGAAAGAAGAAGAAAATGAGAGAGAGAGAGAGAGAGAGAGAGAGAGAGAGAGAGAGAGAGAGAGAGAGAGAGAGAGAGAGAGAAAAGAAGAAACAAAGTCATAAGTCATACGTCACCTCTATCTCTCCCGCTCTGTCACGCGATTGCCAAATTACACGTATAAAAGGATCGCGATAGCGGATGTGTACATATGTAGCGGCGTTTGGATAGCATTTGTACAGAACACGACTAACTATTTACCCTAAGCCCGCGAAGATTACTGTAAAGTAAATGATAAGGATAATTTAACAGTAATTAATCACGGTCAATCGCGGCTCTAAGAGAGAGAGAGAGAGAGAGAGAGAGAGAGAGAGAGAGAGAGAGAAAGAGAGAGAGAGAGAGAAAGGGGGACACGAGACGCGCGAGAAGTGCGCGCAAAATTTACCAAGAGAGAGAAAGGGAGAGAGAGAGAGAGAGAGAGAGTGAGAGAGTGAGAGAGTGTGTGTATGTGTGTGTGTTTTAACGAACGAGCTTCGCGTGCCCCGCGTGCACGCGCGCGATTTAATATTGTTACACGCGCGGTTCCGCGGCCGAACGGGAGCTGCCCGTGCCTCTGGAGGACATCGTCCTCTTTCTTCCGCGAGGACTCGCCCTCGAGAGGAGGCCCTCGGGATCCTCCGCGGGACAGGACGCGCCGATCCGCCGTCGAACGCGCGCGCAATTGATTATTATTGTCGGAGAGAGAGAGAGAGAGAAAGAGAGAGAGAGAGAGAGAGAGAGAGAGAGAGAGAGAGAGAGAGAGAGAGAGAGAGAGAGAAAAGGTGGAGAAATAAACTCTAGGTCGTAAATATCTAATGTACGTACTTACTGCTAAACGCCACAGCCGGTAGAGAAGCGAGCCGCGGATCATGGTGCCGCCGATTGTACAGCGGTGTATGAGCGAGCGTTTCTACGAGACTTTTCCATTGGTTTTATATCGAGCGCCTCCGCAAAGTCGCGACACGTCATTCACCTCTTGTCCGTCGTCTTTCGTTTTTCTACACGCCTATGCATCGTACACACGCGAGGCGGTCCGCGCGCGCGCACCAGGTGCGCGACGCGCGATACGCGGGCCTAAGTGTAAGTCGTTCCCGTGTACCCTCCCGCCGAGAGCATCTTCGCACACCCGAGACGTCTCAAGCCACGCGACACCCGAGATTACTTTCCGCGCGCGGCTCACATATCTCGCGTGTCAGTTCGCATTCTCGTTTGGCAAAAAGAACACGCAAGCGTGTTCGCTCTTGTTTGGAAGATTTCCACGCGCACGCCGCCGTGACGCTTTTCCGATGCCGAGAGCGTGTTGTTAACGGCGGAACGCCCACTGGAATCACCGAAGCGGTCGAAACGAGAGTGGTTTCGCAGACATTTGCTCGAACCTGTGAAACGACGCATCCACATACTGATCATCGGTGTCGAGTGAAACTGAAAAAATAGATGGCACATCATATATCCAAGAAGTAAAACTAAGTAACTAAAAACTTAATATACACTCCCTCTGTTGCATTACGTGTTCTTTTTTCTCAGAAACTCGTCGTTTTGACCTTCCGCTCCGGCGGGAAAGCAGGTCGGTTAATCGTCGGTGCTTCTAGTGTTAAAAATTCATGATTTATCGTCGCGCCGTTTTGTTAGGTGATGTCGCGACGAGCATCATTCGTGTTACATCTTCGAGTACCGTCGTTGTTCGTCGCATTTTCCTAGGGCGAAAGCAAGTATCATCTCTCAAACGAAATCGACCGTACTCCTCTGGGCGTTCCGACGCTGGGCTATGTAATAAATTAGACGATACTTCGTTGCGCAATTGAGGGCATTATTTTTAGCGGGTAATTGCAGCGGTTTTGTGAATAATTTCGGATTATCCTGTACCTGTATCGCGAAAACGGCTGCTGAATCACAGATGCGTTCTGGATGTATGACGAAGACGGCACGAGAATTCCGTCGAATTTCGTTTCTGCGAACATTCGTGTCTCCGAAGCTTCCGTTTCGGAGCTATCACTCTCATCGACTCGGCGATTTTAATTGAGCTTTCGAGTGCTGGTTGTTGTCACAGATTGCATGACCCTTCACACATGCGCACCTTCACGCTTCACGCATCGTTTCCTAGAACGCAACCGAACTCTCGTACCTAGCGATGTAAAACGCGAGGAAAGAAAATTATATTGTAATACCTTACGTTGTGTAATTCGTAATGTAAGCAAATACGAAGCGCGATCATTCGCGAACTGTATTCATCGAGAACCTCGTCAAAACAGAGATGAAAGTCCCTATCTACTTAATTATCGCAAAAATCGACTGATGTTACATGATGAGAACGAAATCGTCGCTCAACAGTATTTCGCCTTGTACTTCGTACAGAGTGTTTCATAATTACAGATGCAAGAATACCGACCGGCTCTGACAGGACTCGCGAGAGAAAAGAATTCTCGGTTTAACACAGTCGGCTCCGCGAGAGCCGACGCGGTTTCTCCAAATATTCAGCTTCTTATTTTCTAAGCCACGTTCTCCGTAAGCCGATTATTCTCTTCGATCTGCCGTAAACGTCGGTCCCGTTATTGTTGAGTCTCTTACCGACGAAAGGCATCAAGGGAAAAATCTAAAGAACCCCGTCGCGCTCGAAACAGAGAGAGATGTTCACGAGTTTCTCCACCGGATTTAAATCACCGGAAGACTTGAGAAACATCACTGAATATTTTTCTCTTTAAATCGTCAAGCGTAATAAAAGCGGATCAACAACGAAATGAGCGAATCGAACAAACGCAAATCCGCTTCTGATACAAATGGGTTAAATCGCGATGTTCAGAAGCCGCGTTTCGAACACACAACGTGAACACCAGGAACTTTTGGATTCTCAGACTGAAACAACGCGTGGACGCTCGCATGAAACAAACAAAACTGGGCAGACGTGGGCGGAACGTGGCTTCAGCAGCCCGCGCTCGGCGGTCTCCGCGCAAAAGGAAAAACGACATAGGCGTGTTCGGGATCGCACGCTGAGAAAATCGCTCTTTATTTCGCGTCTCTACGTCGATTCGTTCGCGAGTTACGGCTCTCCGAAATTGTGCGGCGCACCGCGCTTGTCCGCTGGTGGCGACGCGCGTTCTCAAGAAACATGAATGAACGCACAGCTTTTAGCGATAGTAGGTCCGCATTCCACCGTGTAACGGCGTTACGTCACCGTTGGAACGCGGACCTGCTCTCACTCCCACGCGATCAGCTGACCGTCGGCTGCGCATGCGCAGTGCGGCTTTAAAAGCCGGGAGCTCTCGAACACAGCGCGCCAGCGTTCGATCATACGTTCACCGGAGTCGGCGATACTCTTGATTAAAATTCTCCTGATTGCCGCAAGTGGGCATTACAAGAGAGGTCGCTTCCTCCGGAAATCCTCTGGGGCGCTCGGAAATTTCATTAAATCAGATAACAATAGAAGCAAGAACATAAATAACTGCAGGAGGAACACAAATGTTTGTATCAAGTTTATCGGCCTGTAGAGAATAACTCGAGCACTTCTTAAAAAATTATTCGTTGAGAAAAAGTTTATTCGTGTCGAGGGCGAGGCGGGTATAATTTTAGAGCGCTTTAAAAGACAGCTCGCGGATGAAGTACGATGTAAAAACGCGAAATAAAGAGGTATCTCGAGCGAGCGAAATTCAGAGCACGACTTTAGACTTATCGGGGCAATTTTGTCTAATTTCTGCAAGTCCTGTTGGACAGTTGAAGCCCACTCTGTAATTATGTACAACACTCCGTATGTGAGAGAAGTACGAAAAGTAGAGAATATCTGAGAAATTTTGAGAAGCTCATTTTTTATAGCCAAATCTGCGATAAACGCTAAACGCCCCTTACGTTTGATATTTGCGTGTTTGTAGAAGTTGCGTTCGATCATTATTACGAACATTTATAGAGGGTTGCTTTTCATCCGAGAAGCGTACCGGTTTTACACGAGAAACACGTGCGACCTACGAAAAAGAAATACGTGTTACATGTATTAGCCGCGTATATATAAATATATAAATCACAATAAATAGTCAATTGTTTCATATAAAGTCTAAATAAAGTAAAATGAAACACACTATTTGTGCGAGGTGTCCTTCTCCTTCTTCTTCTTTCCTCTTTCTCGTTTTTTATTTTCTTTTCTTTTGAAAGTCGTGCAACAGCTCTTGACTTTCTCCTGACGATTTAACCGAGATGTACTTGAGGCACGTGAATTTTTATTTCAATACGTTCAATTCTAAATAGCACAATCAAAAATGGAATGTGTATATATATATATATATATATATATATATATATATATATATATTACATATCCTTGTAGACACAAATCTCAAGTATTATTTTAAAAATACAAGTGAAGCCTAAATTCCATAATAACATCGCTGTAGCACGGGATCTTCAGGTTCAGGTGTGATGCATCTATACACATTGTAGCACAATAGTCGTTCTGAGTGTTTAACATAGTTTGATTAAAATTTATAATATATAAACGACAGTTCATATTAACAATGAACGATTTGGACATCAATAGATGTTCTATAGGACTCGTCCTATCATAATATATCTGAAATTTCAAAAAACAATTACGCAAATTGTTTAAATTCCATTGCCTATACTTATTATTATAAAGTCGATTGTTCCCTATTAATTACTATTCTTTCGTTAATTATATTGATGACATTGCGCTACGCTTGCGCGATTACGATCGTCTTTACGAACGACTAAAACAAACGACGATCTCCTCTCATCTACAGATGAAAATGAATTTTAAATTCACAGTCGCACAAACGACTTCTAATCACATCATAATTCATCATTAACAATGTTATCGACACAGATATCGCATACTATGAACTTCAACGGTCGTTACGAAACAGGTCAAGTTAAGCGTGTCGTTATTAAAAAAAAAAAGAAAAAAGAAAAGAAAAGAAACAAATTAAAATATGTACTTTCACTAGCGTATATGCACTATATTGCATCGAACCTATTCACATGTACAAAGTGAAAATTAATCGATTATAAACAATGCAATATATCAACAAGAAAGATCATGCAGTTCTTGAACAAACGGATAATCTTCGTATAAATGACAATTAAATACATAATACGACATAATAAACCTGTACAATTTTACAAATGCAATTTTAATGATAATCCCTTAACGTTGAGGAATATTTTTATGATCCTACAAAAATGATTAATCGATATATTTATATTAGAATAACACAACCATATAGCTTTAATAATACACAGAGAACAGAATATAAAATTCTCACAATTGTTATAAAACGGTGAAGCTATAATCTTTATTTTGACGTATCCAATATCTTTTATGGAAGTTATAAATATTATAATGACAAAGTTAAAACGTAATGGATTGATCACATAAAAAGGAGAATATTCTATAATAGCCACAGAATATTACCTTGTAACATTTCGCTATGTAACCGGAAGTTTTACGTAAATTATATCTGTTCTATTCTCTATCAATGGATATTCTTAGCTTCTTTATATGTATAACAATATTTATACACTAGTAAACAATGCAATCCACTGGTCTTTGACGACGGATTGATCAAACTGGGAGTTGAGAGCCTTCGTAATAATAATAATAATAAAAAAGAAAAAGAAAAATGTAAGAATGATAGCGTTAATGCCCCTAGGTGTATTTTACTTTCATTAAAATTAGGAACAAAACCGTAAAAAAACTCCTCGGGCTACCCGCTCGATATATTCTCGTGTCTTTAAATGCCTGTTAAGAACACACGAATATCGTTACAAATATACTATCTTGGAGTATCAAACTGAGATTCGTCCACGATAACAAGGGAACTACGCAAGAGCGCGCCTTAAGTTTACGTGGATACGTTATGCAAGAACTGAGTGGCAGAATTCAGAAGGCCTAGCCGCTGTTTCTGCTTTCGTTGCTCCGTCATCTGTAAGAGAGAAAGAGAAGGCAAGAGGAGTTTTATATACGATTTCTGTGCAAACAACTTAGCAGTCTCACTTTATGCAGTACCTGATCACGAAGCTCCGTGAGTTGCTGGGACAAACATCTCACTAATTGCTGCGTAGATTCCAATTGCGTCTGCAAACTTCTTAATTCCACTTGTTCCCCTTCACCCTCGTCCGCAGCTAACGACTTGGCTCGCAGCCTCGGGAACCATTCCAAATTTCTGTCCTGTGAAAGTACATAGAGCTTAAAGGTATAAGCATCGCTCAAGTTTTTCAAGCTCTATGAACTATTACCTTGACCATCGCGTAAACGTAGGATTCGGGGCCCGTGAATTCGGTCGGGTCCTTCACCTTCACCAAAACGATAAAGTAGAGGTAATGCCACATATTATGCTCGTGTTTCACGTGCTCCTCGAAGGAAACTGTTTTGTTGTCGAAGGCTGATCTATTCAAGCCTGCGAATTATATATAATGCTTCAATAAAATTATAAAATATAACAAACATAATTATGTCTCTTTTCGTGTGAAATGAAAACATACTAATATGCGGTATGTCGATTTTAGCAAATACTTACCGCAAATGAAACAAGTATTTTTCAAAATCAATTCCTTCTGCTGCTTCTCCGATCTAAGATCCGCAAAAGTGTCAATGATCACACCAAAAATGAGATTCAAAACTATAATTATCACGATGAAGAAGAACAGTAAGTCATATACAACTCTTGCAAAAAACAGTGATTCCTGAAATGGTAGAACAGTTTTAATGTAAGAGATAAGTTATTAGCTGCTGTAATCTCATTGTTTTTATTACTTACGTCACTGCTGGGCGCTCGTAGAATATCTCCGATGCCGCCACCATTCCTGAGACCCTGATTCAACGTAGTAACGATACACATGAGCAGTGAATCGCACGATCGTTCTTTCAATTCACCGCCGATACTGCTCACCTCGGGTTTGTTCACTCGTTCGTTTTCTGTGACATAAGACATTTTGTCTTAACACCATCGTATATCATTTCTATGTTTAAATAAAGCGAAGTATATTATCAAATATGGACCTTCGCGAGCATACTGCGACACTGTCTCTGTTGCTTCACATTTCTCTTTGTCTCCGGCGCTGCAGGTATCCGCGGATTGTTTAATGTAAGCTGAAATTTAAACAAATGGAATGAGAGTGACAGTTTATAAAATCAAATGCGATTGTATATGAATATAAACATGAGAAACGAAAAACCGAACTTACATATAACTTCTTCGTCCACACTAACCAGGAAGTCGTCTTTGAAGAATATAAAGCCGATAAGGGAAAACATGTAAACCAGGATCAGAGCCAGGACAGCAGTGAGTATAATAGATCTTCCATTGCGAGTAACAGATTTTATTACATTGAGCAAAGTCTCTTCGCGATAAACCACATCGAGAAGCTGAAAGCGACGATAACGTTATGATCTGCGCATCTCATGTCGCGAATATGGGGACAATTGACCGCGATACTTACTAAAACTGAGTAGAAAAATGGATGCAAAAAAATCCCCAGAACGCAGAATATTAAATACGATATGTGATACAAAAGTTCGATATTGGTTATTATTTGCTCTATACTTTTAGTCAGGGTACCCTGATTACCTATAATACTTATAAGATGTACAACTTTTAATACGATCTGCAACATGTATACAATTAAACGTGAATAAAATAGGCCAAATATAAAGTACAATTTCATTATACGATACAGAATAAGATGTAGAGAGTGCTTAGAGAGGAAACTTTTTTTACCGTGAGGAAACCGAGCAACCACAATGTCGGTTCTGGACCTATAGATATAATCAATCGCAGTATCGTTGACGCGACTAACACGCGTATACCAGACTCTCTCGGTAACGTAATAACGATAGCGGCAGATGCAAACATAACCGTCCAAATTAGAGCTGATATGTGAGAATTAAATTCTGCGGGAGAACACAGAAATGTCGGTCAAGTTAGAAGAGTGTGCTAAGAGATCCCAAATCTTAATTATTAATAAAAGACTCACTAGGCACAAAATCCACAAACGGATAGAAAAACGCTACGATAAGATTTATCAGAACGGCGCAATTGAATAAAATATTACTCCACAATGACATATAACTGCTCATCCAGAACAATACCGGTTGCCCTGCGAATGATAAAGGGGGAAATTGACTCGTATGCCATCGAAATTATCAGTATCGATTGCAATCGGTTTATTAACACACGACTAATGTACCTCTAAGCTTCTTCTGCCACTTCATTTCGTTGAACATATCTTCCGTTCTCTCGAAGAAGTCGGAAACCTTCGAGCCTTGATCGTCCCGCTCCGTGGTGTTGAGCACCCTTATTTTTGTGTCCATGGTTATAAGCTCACAAATCTCAGGGATCGGGAAGACAATTTGTTCAAGCGTTCGATCGTGCCTCACGATCTGAAATGAACAAATGTATCTGTGGCAAATCTTCCCGAGAATAGTCTGTCGGAAATCACAGTACCTCTATCTGAGCCGTGTGAGACGCATAATATTGCAATGCTTTATTAATCTTCGGGTCCGCGTTGTTCTGTTCAGACGGTTTCAGTATCACCGCCAACTCCCTGTTGTGTTGCGCCAATTGGTGACACAAAATGTATATATTATGCCCAACCTGCGACCCAAATCGATAAAATTGATAAAGTGATACGCATTGACGAAAAACGCAGAAGAAACTAAAGCAGTCACAATACGCAAGTACATTCTTGTCGAGACAATTAAAAATGAATTAACTCACCTGCCAAATTTACTTAACCTGCTAAATTTTCTTCAACCGTTAATTTTCAAATAATTAATCGAAAATTAATTAACTTATTGCACAGCTTACTTCTTTAGGCGACACTCCTTCCTCTCCGTTAGTCGACGAATCGTCGACATCGGTGCTCTCGTCCAGCGACTCCTGATGAAAAGCCTTGCAGGCCACGTCAACGAGTTGCTTCGGATTCATGTTGTACATTATCCTCTCAGCGTTCTCGCTATCGCCTCTGCTCTCCATTATCGCCAACAGTAACTTGCTGGCGTTATTCTTCAGCTCCAGTACTAGATCCATTCTGCTCTTACCCAAAGGATTGATGTCGTTGAGTATCAACGCTGTTATAATGTCCAGACCGTTGGATTCGTGCGTCGCGATGCAATTTTGATTATCATGACATGGTCCTTGACAGTACTCCGTCAACGTTTCTAGAGTTTGATTAATCAGCGCTACGTTGTATTCGTTAATATAGAGACCAAGGAGACCCAGTCCACCGGTGGTTGAGCCGCAGATACAATCCAGAAACATGAGCGTCTCCGAGACCAAGTTGAAATTCGTCTTGTTATTCTGATTTCGCAGGAAATTCTACGAGAACGAGGATTATCGATTGATATGTATATATATATATATATATATATATTATCGAGGTCAAATATATAGTTGCAACCTTCCGCTCAAATATAAAACACAAAGTTAATCGGTATAGTAAACTTTCTCAGCATCAGATATTCATTGGGACATTGTTTCTTATGCAAGAGTATCAAACAACATTTAGAAATGCATCGCGTTTCAGCTCCTTGAAGAAGTGACTAAATATTTTCGGTTCTCAACACTTCAGAAACTAAAGACGTCATTTCACATCTCCGGTTCGCAATGTTTAATATCTCTATCTAATAATACCGAAAGAGAAAGACATACACATGACTATAATAAAGAGTTTCAATATTACCTGCAGCTCTCTATTGTGATTCTCGCAGAGCAACTGCAAGAAGCGTAGAATTGGCTGCATCACCAGGACTTTAGGGCTCAATTGACCCTCGTCCCTCTCGCCACCGGAAGCAGCGCCGCTCTTGTTGTGCCGATCCAATTTCTCGCCTATTTCCTCCAACGTGCATCCGAGCGCCGCGTTATTCGCCGCGTCTTCGCTAGACGAAAGACTCCTCATGTTCACATATGCCTGTCCGTTCGATGCTGCGGCCTGATTCAGTTCTTCGTGTAGCTCGTCAGTTATAACGATTCCATTAGGCTTTCCTGCGCAAATGCAACGGGCCGCTTGATTTTCATCGCGAAAGGCGATTTATTCTGGATGCTCATAGTAATATGCATAAAATTAAAATTGCTGTCTTGGTGGACAGTGTCTATTTTATCTTATACCTGATGCACGTTTCCGCGATAACTTATCTACTTCTTTACCCTGCTCCTTATCCTCGTGCGCTTTGGCTGCCATGTCAGACGTATTTACTGTCACAGTGGACTTGATCTCTTGCTGGGCATCTTTCATTTTATCATAGAACACCTGTGCGAGAGAGGAGAGGGGGAATAATTAGTGAGCGCGTCTCCCATATATCCCATGACGCGCGACGCGAATGTTACGTACCTTGAAGAACGATTGGCTCAAGTCGCCGCCCATTAATTTATTAAACACACTTTTCTGTATAATGGGATTACCGCCTTCCAGGAGAGCGATACCCAATTCTACAGCTTCCACGAATATGCTTGGCGAATGCACGCTCTTGATCACCAATTCTACCACTAAATCCGAAGCACCTTCGCGGTCGAGATGCGTCTGCACGTCGTGCAATGTTCTACCGGCTCGACTTAGTATCTTCGCTGTAAAAGTAAACAATTGGTTTTATACGAGAGGTACAAAAGATTCACTAATATTCTGCGAAAAAATAATTATATGTATCCGATTAAATACACCGGATATTTGATCGGATAACGAAATTAACAATCGGATATTTCGGATATCTCGGATATTACGGATTTTCTCAGTATATACACGAAAAAAAAATAGTTCTATTCAATTAACATCACGGACATATCCAATTACGTATGACTGTATACAGAGACGAAATTTATATATAATCATTTATTTTCTCCAAGTCGTATATATACTCACCCCCCGGACCATGAGTGATAGTCGCGCTACGTGATACACCGATGTCTACATTCTCCGGTTTTTGCAAAAAGCTCTTGCCAAAATAACGCGTCAAAAGATTAGTTCTCAATGCATCTCCCTGCGGAAAAAAAGAGTATTTTATGTCAGCATTCCACTATATGTTCGAAATGATAGAACGATGTACCAATACACAATGCACAACATTAATAAAAAAGGTGTAATGTACGTTAAAGATATACCCTTCATGTATATTCACAAATTCTATCATATAGATGTGTATATGTGTGGATGTATATACACACACGTATATTTCAATCGTATATTTACACAGTCGGTGCTTTATGTGCTTAAAGGTGTTGTAAAACTATCTGTGCAATTTGGGATGCGTGTATAAATCCGCATTGTATCACTGATGTAAAACTTCTGCGACTCGAGGCGAAATACACGAGTAAGGTGCAACGTACAAAAAAGAAGAGACGAGGGTGAAGTTAAAATGTAATTGCAAACAGCATTCACATGTTTAGACTGGTGAAGATACCAAATTGAAAATTTCAGTAAACGGTAATACTTATAAAATTACAAAAATATGAGTTAATATCTGTATAAAAAGGTGCCAAATCGTAATATAACAATGTGATCTTATGGTAAAACACGTAAGAATGAACAATGGTAACACACATATTCTGGATATTACGCACATGTGATAATATCTTTAGCATATCGATGTTAATCGATTTAAAGTGTACGTGTACGTCAAGAATATTCAACTATCTAGCAATAACATTCATGTTATTGGAGCAAGGGACTAATAAAAATAAGTCTTCACATTCACAGAGTACATGACTCCAGTCTAATATTGTTAAAAGAGAATATAAAAAGTGTAATAATATGTATATTATAATTATATTAATCAATATATAATATCGTTAAAATATATAGAATCTATCATTGTATTGGTACATCTTACTACATAATATATATACATTTATATCTATCTATAAAAGCTTTTCTCCGTTAATTTCTATCCTTCTTTGTAATAATATTGAAGTATATCATACATATATATGTAAGTCTTGTTGGACAATAATATTTTCAATAAATAATAATTTTAAGAAGGTGGATAGAGTAAAAGTCTTCGACACACGGTAAATATGTTGCAGAATAATGCGCCGACTTCCTAGCATAATTTGCATACAATGCTACAGTCGAGTGTTTTTTCCACGTGCATTTTCATTATTTGTTACCGTGAATCAAAATCACTTTCACACGTAAAATCACAATTCTTATATATACCGTGTATTATAGTAATATATATATATACACACACACACACACACATACACACACACACACACACATATATATATATATATATTCTCAAAACGAAGTTATCTCTACAAAGATAAAGATAACTTCTTTAACGCAAAGAACGTATCGGGAACGAGATGAAAATGATAGGGAGAAATGGATACTTATAGTAAAAAACGAAGATAAATAAACGTGCATAAATTAAATAAGCGACATGCATGAAGTCTCTACACAACGTACATTGTATATTCTCTACTTTACGGAATTTCACCACACCATTTACGATCTGATGTGTGTACATTTAACATATCACGGACAATCACTTCAACATCTTGATTACACAATTAATCAACTACGATTAGCAACTTATGTCAATTGCTTGTGTTAGCCTTCTAAAGTGAAACATTAAGTTATGATCGTGAAATTTGAAGATCGGAAGTCTCGAATGTATCCAAGTTAGATTCTGGTGAGGTAAGGCCTGTAGGTGTAAGTTTCTCTATTTTTCGACGATGCAACAGCACGTAATGTCGCGATGCGGAGTTACAAGGCGGCGTATTTGCGCGACTCCTAAATCACATCGCGCGATTCACCGCGAGACATCTCTTTATAACGCGATAATTTTGCTCTCATATACGTTGTGCCCATTATTCTTGTTCTATCTACTTTAATTTTTACCGGATCTTGCTGAGTCATTTGTCGATTCTCAGACTGATCATTGGAATCTGTCCCGACTTGTGACTCGCCCTTCGTTTCTGACTCCTTCTGTTCCGAGATACCTTCGTTCTTCATTCGCAGCATGAAAACATCTTTAACCTACAGATCTATTCTACGAGATCTACTCACCCGACGCTAACGCTTTGCGGCTTATATATTGAGAAAACTTATTAACTCTTTTACGCTTTACTTTCGTAATTATGCGGCAAGCCAAATAAATATTTCATCGCGCATTAATCGTCTAATGTGCTGTGAGCGATCGGGCATTCAGCTTTAGCGCGAGGAGTTGAAAGTTCGAAACAAGTATTTGGTGCAAAGTGGGATTAGTAGGGTTTTTAACGTGAAAACTTTTTTAATCATCTTCTGCAACGATACTTTTATCTACATCACGATACTTTCATATATTTTCTCTGCCACTGAGCCTGTACAAACGAGAGAGCTGAATGCCCTTCTCCGCGATGCTGTGTTATCTTCCTTGTATGATAAATGATTCATGTAACTCCATGCAAGATGTAACTTGACGACACTCACCTTTTCTCCATATTCAGGATCGATGGCCATCATCTCCCGGAGTGTTCTCAACACCTTTACGCATAATTTCTCTTCCGTCTCTTCTAACAATTTTTCGGTGTGTTTAATTAATCTGTAAAGCGAAGATACATAAATCAATTCGGCACTATCGGTTCCACTAAGCCACTCGCGAATAAAAATCTTACCTCTTGATAAAGCCACCGTTTTCGCATCTCTTTCTGGCGTCGGTCGCTGCGGGAAATAGCAATTCGGGTCGATAGAGAATATCCACCAACAAGGATAATTCTGACTGTACCAAAGGTTTCAATTGTTCCTCTAATAAAGACACTATGTCCTGCAGACCTTCTATTATACTTCGATCTAGACGCATCAACTAGACCAAATTGAAGAGTATTAACAGCTACGTCATTTTTTCTTTCTTTAATAATAAAGATTTGTATGTACAAAAGAGTGCTTTCGTACTACGCTACGATAAACTAATTATAAATTCAATTAAGGTTAAATATGTATCACAATATATAAAGCACCGAATATTCTATACATGTTTGATATTTAATACTTCATTAAATGTTTAAAGAGAGACATATTTCCAATTCTGCTCATATGTAATTCACACGAACTAAAATGCAGTAAAATATTTCATTACATATACGTATATGATATGTATAAAGTTTTTACATATGTGCGTGAGTGAGTATGTATGTAGTCATGACACAACTAATCAACGTTTTCAGTGAAAATATTAACTCCGCGTGATTTGTATACACAACAGCCTAACTAATATCAGCAACCGCACTACATAGCATCACTAAACTAGTGCACGAAGTTCTACGTTTCCGCGAGTGACCTTTACCTCATTGTCAGAGTCTTCCATACAAGATAGGTCACTCTATATATTTAAGCAAATTTATTACACATTTGCTCGCACGTGAACGGAGAGTAGTATAATCACACTGATGTATTATGTATAGAATTGTCGTTGCAATTTACCTGGCTTTGACTACGCTCAATCTTCGGTTGCTTAGCTGCTTGTAACCACTTGTTGGTCTGTCTACTGAGCATGGCTGCTTTGTTGAACATGGCAGCTACTTGACTTTCCAGATCAGTCGGTATGGCAATACCTCTTCCTTTAGCTAAAATTAAAAGAGAGAGAGGAGTTCATACGTTATTTAAGTCCAAATGGATAAGTATATTACTATACTCGAGTAAATGACAGTCTCCCATGAATCGGCGGGATACTTACCTACATCTGACAGTGTCCGTATGCAATTCTCGACGTTAAATCTTTGTCCAGAGTTTAACCATGCACATTGTGATACCTTAAAAGCTGCATGAAGCAACTGAACAAATATAGGTTGTCTTGTCTGTCCCATGAAAAAGTAAATGCGAAAATCAATTAAAATTGTCCGTGTTATGATAGCAAAAGAAAAAGGAAATAGTACTGGTTGAGCTACTTATATATATATATAGAAGCTATCTATCTATAATCTTATTTAAAAAAAAAAAAATATATATATATATATCTCAGAACCTTATACATATTCAGAGCAATATATTATATTATTAGTGCAATTATATCTTATAATTTTCTTCCTTACATTTTATTTACACATAAAACCACCCTTACATTTTACAACGTTGTCTTGCATAAAGTGTAACACACTCATTGCCAGGCAGTCTGAATAGAAAAATATCATATACATGCTATATGAAAATTGCAAACTTTCCTTTGTAAGTTAGAACAATTTGGGAAACACATAGACAGAGTATAAAAGAAACCATCTTGAGGGTAAAAGGGGATACTCATGGTTAGCATCGACGGACGTAGCTTACAAGAGTGATTGCATCCAACGATGACAATGAATGTGTTAATTTAGTTATGCAGAGACATGTGGTGCACAGGCGTACGTAAGAAAGAGAATGCAGCTTATATTTACAATGTCAGTTGCCCTGTGCTGCTGAAGCATCTCTAGTAGCCAATGATGATAATTTACGAGTGGAATGTACAATCAGAAAACTTGTATATCTCGCAAAAATAGATGCTCATCGTACATGTGTAACCGCGGATAAAAAAAAGGATATCTTTCATTTCACATATTTTCATATACTCATTGTAATTCATAATGTCTTTCCGTAAGAGACATATTACATCCTTTTATTTGTTTCTTCTTTATCATATTTACCCAAAATTAAGAGCAGACTCTAGCATTCAATACTCACATAGTCAGAAAGATTATTATCTGTATTCCGATCGCACTCCTTGATGTTCCAATAGAGTCTAGCCTCGTGCAGATGTTTCTATTAGTAAACCAACCCACCACCATATAGACCCATATAGTACCCAGAGACCCAGTAAACCAATGTCGTTGGTTCAAAGAAGACCGGGTGTTGCATGCCAAAAACACAGAACATGCCGCTGATGCAATCAGCAATGACCAAGCACACATCATACGATATATGTTTAACACAATAGTATCAATTGTATCTCTAGCTTATTGCTCTCTAAACGGTCATGTATAAATCGTACAAAAGAAAAATTATGTATAAATTATAACAGAATTAATAACTATTTGATCTAATAATCTAGTAATACAGAGTACTGCGCACTAACTCAACACCATGTTCGTTGAAACTTAATCTACACTCTAAGATTCCTACTGAAAGAGTTAATATAATTCACCGCGCAATATGTTACTTGAAAAATGAATCGAAGTTTCTCTTTATACATGTGTGTGTGACGTGTACTTGGTTAGTAAGTGAACTTAATTTTGTGTTCTCATGCAAAGCGAGAAGTTATTAAATATAGATAGTGAATGTAGATGTATTCTGCATATGTTATGTGTGATTAGAATATATGTCTATTGTTTTGTGCCATTTGTTCTCTCTAGTTATTTTTTTTTTTTTTTAAGCAAAAGGTAAAGATCGTTTTATTGAATGTTTATTGTGTGTCAATGTATATATTGTTTCCTTCTCGTAGAACACTGTGTCATAATTCAAATGAGTAGAAATGAATCGATCCATTCTTGTATAAACGATATTTGTGCGATATTTTCACCAAGAGTAAAGTGCTAAAATGACATCACATAAATCTCATTATCAACATTAATTTTGGATACTTAAAAAGCGTGATTTCCATATTCCGTTCAATGTGAATAAACCGGTCACTTATTCAATGCTAAATGAAGTATTGAAATACTGCACCGTCACATTAAATTTGCCGAGGAAATAAATATACCAATAAAATATTGTAACACGTAGATCAGTTAATTAGAAAAGAGGAAGATATAGATATGTGTTTATATGTGTTTATATATATATAAATATATACCATTGAAGATAATCAGTAATATTTTTCTCTTATAATGCGACGAATAAGACGTTACCTGCACAGTGGTGCTTTGATCGGAAAACGGGCTGCTGAAAAACGTGGATATAATGTTCATTAGACAACTCGTCACGTAAGTCTCTAAAGCTGTATCCGCGTGCTTTCGATCGTGAGTAGACGATGCAATCAAACCCATGTCAACTATAAAGGACTTTTCAAACAGAGACCACATATGATTCGACGTATAAATCTCCTTCATTTCGACTTCCGTGTCGATGTAACAGTGATTGAGGAAATTTATATACGCCTCTTTCACCTAAAACGCATAAACATGCCACAAGAAGTCAATAATTCCCCTTTTTGCCCTCGCAATATCTCAATGTAAATGTTAAACACAGTAAAGATATTAGGTAGCTAGATATTCAAAACTTCGATAGGTGATTTACCTCTGGTATACAGTCCTGATGTGATACCATGACGACAATATCATCTAATGGTAAGAGACTGTGACATTTAATCTCGGTATTGACATTCTTGCCCATCGTGCAACAGGCCAGAAGTTTGACCAATTCTACATGATACCTAAAGCACGGAATGTTTTTAGCGAATTCTCGAATATTAAAATAAAACGATCAATGACACTGTATGAAATATGTGAGTGTATTGCTTTAGAAACACAAAGAAATAACTTACTTAAGCGGGCTGCTCTCGTCCATACGATGTCTTTCACATCGCATCATCTCTACGAAATGATTGAAAGAAGCTCTGTCATTGTAAAAGACCAAGACATCTTCTCCGGCTTGAACTAACTGGAAAGGAAAAAATAATAGCGAACAGATCTCTCGTAGGAGACTTCTACATTTACGATGTAGAACGTGACGCGTGAAAAGGGAAATCTCACCTCCTGCATCACCATCTCTTGGCATTTTCTGATAAACTGATTCTCAGCCTTCACTATAGTTTGCAAGAACTTCAAGTATTGCACATGCTTGCCGTGTGTTTCTATGCAATGCACAAAGTGCTGTATGACCTTCGGGTTGACCTCGTTACAGAGGACGGAGTTATCTTGAAAAATGCTGCACACCGTCTGCGCCTCTCTTATGCCGGGATTCAAGAACAGGTCCAGCTGTTTGTGCAAGAGAACCTGGTTCTGCTGATTAGCCAGGCAAAAGTTTTGCAAAAAATCATGCGCCAGGCGCATCAGTTCGTTCATCCGGACATCCTCTTTCGCGTCGAATGGAACTTGCAGCAGATCCAAAACAACAGTGTGCACGCCGACGTTGCGCAAAAGTCGTTGCTCGTGTTTGCGTGCCTTCACTTGGCCACCCAGCATTGTTTGAATGCAAAGTTTGTTCATTCTTATCAGTATCTGCTGAATCTTTTTGTACTCTTCAGCTTGTTCAACGTGCAAGGGTGGCCCGATGTCCAAGTCGATGGCAGACTCTGTAATTCGCACTAATCAAAGCCTGTCACTAGTCACTTGTGCGAGGGAAGAACGTGCGTCATGTAATAACTATTGATAAGAACCTTGTTTATCCAACATGGATAGCAAAGGCGGCTTCTCCGTCGGGGCTGAAGTTGCCCCGTCGTCCTCCTCCTCTTTACTTTTTTTCTTCTTGTTTCCGTGTTCTTCCGCCGCCTTGGATTTATACACCCACAGCTCGGATTTCTCCACAGACTGACGCAAAACGTCCAAGTCTGCTTTGATCTGTTTATAAGACTCCACGTCGCTATCCGAAACCAGAAGCTGCACCTGTTAATACATCACCCACGTATCATCAATCTGTCTCCCGACAATATATTTTAACACCCGAGGGAGAGTCTAACCTGCTTGAATGCCTGTAGAACTTCTTGTCTCTGGCTGAAGTGCCTGAATAATAAATGCAGAGCTCCCGAGACTAACGGAGGATAATCGTGCATAGCTAAATGCAGCAGGACGCGCAGGAACGTTCTACCACCTTGACCGTCTAAATCCAGCGCGGCACACTCCTCACTGAAATGCATATTTCCGTGAAATATTAATTTCACATCATATATATATATATATATATATATATATATATGCCAAAAAATATGTGAAAATAATTGATATACCTGCTACCGAATATCCCCTCCGCTTGTGTGCCGATCGATTCCAAATCGATGGCTTTTTGTCCTAGATTCACGTCTCCGGAAGAAACTCTCTCGGTTTCATCGAATTCTTGCTTGAATATGCTCAGCAGGCAAGAGATCCTGTAATCCAGTCGAACGTCGAGGATAAACTGCAAGATCTCGATTATCTTGAGCTTTGTGTCCATCACCAGTGGATATTCTTTCTTCATTAGCGGCTTTGGTCTTGGCGAAGAACTAGCTAGCACTTGACCGGCTGGTCCCAGTGTTAAATTCGTCATCACAGCGCCCATGTCACCGATGCATCTAAGAACACCTCCTTCGGCTGTTGCAACACACCATAAGATGTGCATTCTTACTGAGACGCCGTATAATAAATAACGCCGTTTACACATACCGTAAAGACCAGTTACAGTGCAGTAGAAATTTAATTCGTGTTTAAAGACAGAGTTTTACATGTAGAAACTAACTAATATGTGAAATAACTAATATGTGAATGTTTGATCCCATTATCCGTTAACGAGCAACCTTTTGACTTGACACATCACCGTTTAAAGACAGAAAATGTATAGTTATTTTTGTCATAACTTAATCTTGCAAGAAATTCGTCTTGCTTGAAAATCGTCATTGAGGTAAAACCCAATGCCCGTATAAATCTAATTATTAAATACATTGTACAGGTAATATTTATCTTTGTATTTTAAAGAAACACCAACTCCTAACAAAAATTCGACAAAAACAAAAAGAGAAAAGATTTCGGGCAATTGGAAGCTTCGTAGGTCTACTTTGTACAACATATAAAATCGCATGCTGAATCTTGCTAACACATTGCACACATATCACACAGTTTAGAGTTTCCAATGAGCTTTCTAATGGAGTATTACCTGCCTCCTCAGAATCCACTGAATCCGCTGTGATGAAATATTTACAAGAGTAAGTTGATTAGTGATTTCAATTATATCTACCTATTGTATATTATAAATAATTTGCCAAAGTCGCGCGAGAATACTTGATCAAAGAGGTCTCTCTGAGAGAAGCGTGGGGCACATATAATAAATACTAATATGTTACAACGCTATGAAGAAGAGAACATTATGTACAAGGTATCTGAGAATATTGCGCTTCAAACCAGAATGAGGAACGTAACTGTTGTGTACGATACGTTTTCGCAAGAAGGGGACTCCGGGGAAAACTCGTTGTATATCAATATGATACATCGATATGGCGCGACAAGATAAAGTCCAACTTTACTGCGATTATACGATTGCTACCATGCGCGCATAAATATAAATATATATGTGTATAAATGGCTGAAAATGTGGATTCACTACTAAAATATCGCTTAGTTGGAGGTTCATCGACCTATGAGCTTTGGTCGGCGAGCGATACAGGACACAATAGTATGTAGATTATATGTTTCATACAGTAATTGTGGATCAACCAACACTTACAATCGATATCGCCCGTGGGGATCTTCCCATCGGCGGAGTCATTTTCCGACACGCAATCCAAGATACTAAGCAACGTCTTTGTTAAGCTTAATAGATCGTTAAAGCTGTAGAATCCAAAGTATATTAGATCACGCGCTAACTTAACGACCTGCAAGCAACATGTAAAGAGCAGAAAAAGATGAGTACAATGTATTTTGTACGTCGGGACCGACGCGCAAAAGCGATTCCACACACACACACCTCGAACGTGAGCTTATTCTGCTCCTGATCTCCGAACGACCACATTTTCGCGACAACGTTACAGAGATAATCTTCGACGAACATGATTGTCGAGCTGAATTTGGTGCGTACAGCCTCTTTATTTTGGTCCGGCATTTTGTTCGTGTCGTAGCTGAAAAATTGCGAGACATGAACCTCGACGTTTCGTACGACACTGATTGTGTGTTCGTTGCGCGTTCTGCTTGCCCACGTACTCGTTTATGCTCATCTTCGACGGGATCTCCGACCAGAGGCGGGCGTACTTCACAGGCGTCACCTGTTCCTGCGGATCCCTGTCCACGTGAAGATGCAGCATAAGCCGGCAAAATGACGCTCGCAATTCGTACGGCACCGTCTCATCCTCCATACATCTGAAATGTCACGTTGCATCACGTATTATATAACTCGCGCGTTGTGTATTATCTAAGAATAATTCTCAAGGCTGGCGGATGAGCGTGCGACTTACTTAAGTATAAGATCAATGTCCAAATGTGGCGACAGATTGTTCAGCGCTAAATACTGTCTGTTGAGACACATGTTACTGAACAGATTCAACTGATGCCTGTAATAATCCAGTATCGCCGCATCCTGAACATTTCCCATTTTCGCTCCTCGCGACAGCTCACTCAAGGACATCGATTTCTGCGGTACACGTCATATTACGACAATTTACACGCGCATTATTTCTCGATGAACTATCACTAGATATACTAGCTACTCACGGTTCCATTGTTCCATTCCAACACAACCTCGAGCTCTTCGATCACAGTGATCCTCGGCTCAGCGTTTTCTCCTTGCTTCTCATCGATGTCCTCGACTTCCACCTGGGTCTTCACCATTCTAAAGTAAATTCGGGCGTATCAGAGATATTAAAGGGCGTCCGTGCGCGTGGCTTATCGCACTTACTTCGTTTCTATGAGAATGTCCTTGTTCTTTTCACTGAGCACGCTCTTGCAGATCAATTCCTGCGTCACGGCGATCGCCTTTTTATTGGAGATACACAGATCCGATAAGTAATCGAGGAATCTCGACTCCCAGTTGTGCATGTTCTTCCTGACAAGACCCACAAATGTTTCTATCTCCGCGGCTGTTATATGCTTCTCCAATAACTTCCTGTTATTGTGCAGAAGTGCGGTGATCGTGTCCTCCGCTAGGATATCGTAGCCGATTTGTTTTTGCATAAATGCGAAATGTTTGGCGATGTATTCCTGTCGTAAAGATCGATCGCACGTGTATTTCGCGCTAATGAACCGCGCGCAACAATTTCAACGCAAAACACGCGATGAGAATGCAGATGAAAGAGAGAAATAATGACAACCCCGATTGGGGGCGTCGCCGCGAGACGAATACCTGATTCTTTCTGTAATCTTGCTGGGAAAGCCTGAGTATTCGATAGCACAAGCGGAACATGTATTTATACGGCGCGTGCCTCGGATCGTTGAGCTCCTCTATCCTAAGAAATGGTCCCTCACCCTCGACAGATTCCAAGAATGGAGCCTACGCAATTAAGATGTCTTAAATCGTGCGACGATAAATCGCGCGCTCTACACCAATGTCGTCGAGGCAGTGACTGACTGCAGTACCTGCAATATCTTGAACAATTGACCGAGAATGTACTGCTCGCGCAACAATTTCTGACGGTCCCTCACGGTATTCGCGACGACTAGTTCCAACGCTTCGGATTTGTTCTGCTCGTTCTCTAAGCCGGCTATGAAGTACACGATGTCCTGCAACAAGCTAGTGACGGCCCTCCGCTCGTTGTGCGAGATCGTTCCCTTCTCCAGCTTGCTGCTCATGGCCGTCAGCACCTTGCAGGCGTCATTAGCGAAATCTAAATCGCGCACTTCGACTGGCGACACGGACCTCAAGGCGAAGGCCTCTTTGTCTTCCTTGCTGATCGCGCAGCCCACCTTTAAGAAGCAATCGAGCACGTCCGAGAGAGAAAATTTATATACCTGCTATTCCAGATTCATAAATCTCTTTTACGATCTCTAACGTGAATTATGATCGTCAAATATGCACATATGGATGCACATAGATACCTTCGACATCACAGGCTTCTCGTCGTCCTTATCGATTGGCACGCTCGTCGAATGGACCCAAGTGTTGGTGCATATATGATGTAATCTAACAAAGGACGACTGCGGAACGAGACTGTCGCCTCGCGTCAACGTCGTCGGGTCTAATTCGAACAGGGAGCTAATCTCGTTGCTGTGTGGCACCGATACTAATCTGTAGACTGGTCCAGGTGGATCTGTTAAACACCCACACCGCACCTCATGATACAATTAGAATCGTGCGTAATATTAAATAATAAACCAAACATAACACCAATTTGTGGTAAGACAAAAGCGTTTTCTATTAAAATATAAATTTTGGAATATGGAAGATAAGCCTTAAATCTTGGCGGAGAAAATCAACCTTGAATGATGAAACGCAAGATGAGATTATTTTGAAAAAAAAAAAAACCTCGCTCTGGAGAGCTTCATGCACAATTAATCCCGAAACACATATTTGTATACCATACCGCGCTTGCCTTTTACAGGTTCCCGCGGCTCGTCCGTATCAATCTCAGCAGCGAGATACTGGCCGGTCGCTAAATGCTTAAATCTGAAGAGTGAATTCCAATGGCCAGCACCTCCTCTACACGGATCGTGTTGCACCACCTGCCATCGAAAGAAATTGCTCGTGAAAAGCTGAAGAAGCGAAAACGATTCCCATTCAAAGATCTGAAATGTCGAAGCTTTTCATGAAACGGATTTTAGGAAGCAGAATTAATATCGCTCGAATATTCGAACGTTAAAATATTCACACTTCGAAACCACGTTATCCGATATAACACCTCGAAACTCCGGAAATTCGAGACTGCGAAGCTTCGAACATAATCCCCAGCTTTGTTATCACCTCGACTTCCCACAGGGCCTTGCTGCTAGTGGCGGCGGTGGCGCTGGTCCTGCCGGTAGTCCTCAGAAATACGTGCTGCTTCTTCTTGTACTCGTCCATCGTGAGGAACTTCTCCTGCTCGGCGTGGAACAGCCGCACGACGTCGCCACCCTTGAGGATCTCCTCCTGATTCTCCCGGTGCTCCATGAAGAGAGTCACCTTCCACGAGGTGGACGAGTTCACGACATTCACCTCCTTGCAGCCGGGATTGTCGCTCAGCTCATAGTTGGCGGCCACATGGAGACCCTGTCGACCCGCGTTCACCGGCTCCATGATCACCTTGTCGCCGACGACCACGCTGTCGCCGTCGCTGCGCAACTTGTAGAACGGCATTATGTAAAGCCACGAGCCCTCGTTGCCGTTCGCGTCCAGATAGACCCGCATCGCGTTCTTCTCCAGCAAGGCCGGCAGCCTCTTGTTCACCGTCAGGAATTTGTTGGACTTGAGATGCAGCAACTGCGACGCGAGAGGAGAAAAAGATTCATAGCGTGGGCAAGCGAAACCGCACGGAATGCGGATAGACGTGACGAGGGGGAGATGTGTGCGACGGAGCACGCACTCATTATTGGGTCCTGCCTTAATGAATTATGCACTTGCGCCTCATGTAGTCATGTAATTCACGCAGGCGGGCGGGCTCGCGTTATCCCGTCGAATCCATTTCTACGAGCTATGATCAGTCAAATTAAGCGGAGTATTCGATAATGTATGGTGTGCGATATTTGATCCCAGCTAACGGCGGGCTTGCGATCGCAGTCGACGCAACTCGTGCGACACATTTCACAAGCGACCAAGGAGCCTTGGACCTTGTGAAAGGTGAGAATGCATCGGCGATATAATAATACATCGCAACAGAAATTAATCGAACGCCCGACGGCGTTACCGGCCGCTGCGGCCGGCGACGCGATTTGCAAGAAACGCGCTCTTGAACGCTTCTGCGAGCGAAACTTCAGCTCGAAAAGCAGCCGCGGCAGCCGAGTCGCTCGAACTCGAGCGACTCTTTTCACTCACGTCAGGGTGAATCCTCCGCTCCGAATGTGCCGAGTGCGAATCCTTCCACTCGGTCTAACGTACTTCGCCGTCAGAGAAGTAACTTCGCTCTCGCATGGCGTCAGGATTATAATTTTGAGTGGCGAGATATTTCCGCTGCAGCTTCGAGTGAAGTCTCGCGCAGGAGTTGGTAATTCAGCAAGGGCTTAAGGCCATCACACACAAATGAACGTAAGCAGCAAAGAAACTAACCGCAATCGCAATCAATTATTCTCGTAAGTTTAAAAATGGCGTCCTTAAATTTCGATTGCGATCGGTCGATTTGCCTGCTACTTACGTCTTACTACCTAAGTTCGTTTGTGTGTGATGGCCTTTATTGCGTGTTCTCTACAGGCAGCCAGATGGATCATGGCGATGGATCGATCAACCAAACAGTTTTTATGGCCGCTTTGCAAAAAAGGGCGTCAAGGGGGTAAAGAGCGCTCCCCTAAGCGGTATTGATGAATCTATTATTATTATATTTGCAACACACCGCGCGGCCCCTTTTGCGTTGGAAGAATACGCGGTCAGGCGTGAAGAAACGCTCAAGATACACTTTAATAAATAATCTCTACTCGGAGAATAACTTTTTTGTTCTCCAAAGAGCAGCGAGGGATTATTTTTCCTTACCTGCACGACGTTGCCGTACGACACCACGCTGCCGAGTAGTTTCTTGTTTTCAGTCTCATTTTGCTTCTTCTCGATCTCGGCCGCATGCTGCGATCAAAGCGAGCCACATTGAATCGCCGTGTGCGTGATCGCGAGGGTGACATCGTTGCGCAGCCGGCGACAAAGAAGTCGCAACACTTTGCAACTCGACGAGTTTCAAAAACGACTGAAAATCGTCCGACCGTCCGCGCGCGCGCCCCAGCAATTCTCGTCTATTTCAAAGCGCGTCGAAGGGGGGAAGGGTGTCGCAGGTTTTTTTGCCGCCGGCTCGATCGGAATGTATCCCGAGTGACGAAGGTAGAGTGCTTTGAGAGATTCGCGATGTCTCTGATGGTTTAACTCTATCGCAGCGAACGCGAAACGCTCACTCGATTTCGCCGAGATGCGCGCCAAGCACGCTTCGTTGACCTTTCGTTCTTTTCGTCATTTCGAAGGTTGCTTTGCGCCGAAGACATAATCAGGCGATCTTCGTACATGACGAAAAGTTTGTGACTGAATAATCAAAGCAGTAGACCGGTCGCATCATAAGAACCGGTTTGATATCCCCTATCTGTGGATATTCGATTACACGCGTTATCATGCGCGTTTATTGCTCGTCGAGCGTGTCGCGTACGAATAAAACACCGTACGAGATTTCGGTTGGAAGCGAAGACCGAGTGTGTTCTCTGAGTTAAACTGAGATAAACCGACGGTATTAATACGGCGGTTTCTGCAACTTACGTGGAGCCTCTTGAGCAGGACGGCGTCTGTGCCGGAGCTCGCGCTTTGTTTCGCCGCCTTCCAGAACTGCTTTTGAGCGGAGTACCGGTTCATAGGACATATCTTGAAGAGGCAATCTACAAGAAGCAACGATCGCTATCGTCCAAGACCTTTATCATGCCCGTCCGCTGGGTACACTTCGCGATAGCAGGTCGCTTTGCAAGAGTTACACGCCGAGCCGCTGACAACTTTCCGCCGCGATATGTCCTCGTTAGTGAAAATTAATTATAATATTGTGAATTACCTCTGAATTTCTTCGGTGGGTTCGACAGGTCTCCAGCTTCGGGACATACCACACACCTGTCGTCGACCAACCTGGAAGCAATTATATACACATTACCAAGTGGGTAATGCGACACGCGAACAGATTCGCGAGAATAACAATATATGATATCAGCTCGATTGCAGGGAATAAAACACTATCCAAATTTTCATTATACTTTCTCCCTTCTCATTCGTGTCCTTCGCTTTTTCATAAAAAAAAAAAAACTGTGAGGAAAAGGTTAATATATCTCACTAGTATCACAATCATTTAAATATAATCTCTTAAAATTTAAAATTACATCAAAGTTATAGTAATTGTAGCTGTTATCAAAATTTTAATCGTAATTCCGCCAACATTTCCTAAGAAAAAAATTAGTAAAAATATCCGTATAACGTTATTATTATCAACCCAACGTTAGCGCTAGGTGATTCTAAACATAATCCTTTCACTGCAATTTCAGTGCAATTACAGCCTCAAATACCAACCGTTTTTCCTTCACTTTTCCTCGTTGTATTTTCTCATAGATCGGCGTAGCCGATCCGACGCATAAAATTACCACGTATTTTAGAGCGTCCCGATCCACAATGAGTGTAATAAGCCTGTAGCACTTTGCTTCTCAAGTCCTATAATTTCTGATAAAATGCGCCTTCCGCGTTGCCTAACAGCTGGAATCTGGCCAGCCGGCTCGCTTAAAGTTTAAGGATTACGATTTCAGGCAGCAGCGGCGAACGCGCTTTTAGCCGAAAATCACGTGTCATACTTCACACGTCGCGCTTAGAGCGAAATGCTAGAAGCTCATCACACCTATTGTGGAATCAGAACTAAGCAAATACATCACGCCCTCTCGAGAGAGACGCGCAACCTCGCGTGTCCCGAGGCTACCCGCGCTTATCTCGCAACAACCAAGCGCGATCGCGCATTGTCATATTACGATAATACGAAATAAGACATTTTTCGCTCGTTTATCGCGCGCGTTATCCTCCATCCTCCGGCCTCTCCATCTCCCTCCTCTTTCTCCTCTCTATCTTGTCATTCTTTCTCTTTACCGCCGCTGCTCCGATCGCATCATCAGTACATTAAGCGTGTACATCAGTATATTAAGCGCGATAATACGCGAAACTTCGGCGTGATAGGGATACAATGACCACACCTCCGCTCTCGCATCTCGACAGTGCAAAGCCGATATTGCGGGCAAGCCATCGTTAAATAAGTGCAGTGGTCCAGGCGGAGAGCAACGACGGGGTTCGGGTCGATATCGCAGGCAGGCTCTCTCTCTCTCTCTCTCTCTCTCTCTCTCTCTCTCTCTCTCTCTCTCTCGCAGTCTTGCCCGGTGGCTCTAAAGCATCGCGCAAGACGAGAACGCTCTCTCTCTCTCTCTCTCTCCCTCTCTCTCTCTCTCTCTCTCTCTCGCTTTGCTTGGATGAGATTTATTTTAGAAGGAAATATCTCGAGGAAATCTGTACGCGATACACGCGATCGCGCCGCGCCTGCACACGTGGTTGTCTCTATTTTCACACACTGTACCTGTCCTGACGATTAGAATTTCGATCTCAGGTCGCCGACGTTTCGCGGCGGCGGCGGCGGCGGTTTTATCCTCAAACTGTTCGCGCGCGTTTTCCTCGTAATCGTTCGACGGAGGAAGCTGCTGCTCGTTGAACGCGCGAGAAACGTCGGCAGGCGCGGCGTGGCTTCATTTCGCGGCGACACACACGGCGACTCGCAACTCCGAGAGCGCGAGCTATTGATCCAGGTATATCTCGAATTAATGGAGCACGCAGAGAGATAGTCCCACGTGCCGCGTGCATAATATGATTAAACTTCACGCGCAGCGAGTGACCGGAGGAGGGAGGGCGGGCACGTGGGCAAAAACAGGCGGCTGAAATTTTGACAGTTGCACGAAACCGCCCAGCCACGCGCGCCTTAAAAGCCTTAAAAGCCTTAAAAGCCTTAAAAGCGAGATGGATCAGCGTCGCGGCCCGCGCGAGCACAGCTGCCGGAAAGCTGCCGGTGGGCGCGATAATCGGGGTGCTCCCGCGATTCAATATCGAGTGCAAGCCGACAGAGATATCGTCTCCTCGCTCGTCCTTATCTCGCGCGAGCTAATAATTAAGATAACGCCGCGCCGGTGGAACCGGAGTCACGTGCCGTGTTATAGCGTTTTGTTATTTATTGAACCGAACGTGTGCCCGAACGTGCTCCTGCGCGTTTCCGCGCGTTCGACAAAGCGCGGAATCGACGCGCGCGGCTTACGATCTCCCTCGAGCTGTCACATTTGTCACACGCGGTGACATGGACTGGCATTTGCCACTTGCCGCTCGTTCACGATCGATTTCATCGTGAATTCGTCATAAATTACGGCGACTGGCTGCGCTTTCCGTCGTCGTCGTCGTCAGACGTGTCCTACCCGCGAATTAATCACGTGTCCTGACAAGCGGCGCTGCGAGTACAGGCTGTCAGGCTGCCTGGTGACGCATAAAGCTTTCGCCTACGTGCACAGGTCAGGTCAAACTGGACGAGGAAGTCCCCTGCCATTTTACGAACAACTGCGTAAAATTTGGGATCAATTTAATCGACAAATTTCCCATCGAAGCAGATCGGCGACTGATCGCGTACTTCAATTTTTACGCGTTTGTTTTTTTTCTTTTTATTTCTTTCTTGTACAGCTGGACACCTAATCAGACACGCGTCCACAGGCATCGTCGTCATAGCTTATCTATCGCACAGCATGTGATCGTTCACCGATCTGTTTTTTAATCGGAAACTCAACATTTTGCGTATAAAATAGCAACATTTTGCGTTCGCAAAATAGCAAAGGAATTTTTTGCTCGATACGACCTAACACGTACACGAAAGCTGTGTATGTATCGTTAGACAACCTGTGCAAGTTCTCTCCTTGCCTGACTCGCTAACAAGATTGCGATTAGGCTGCTCGTTGCAGAGGTAAGCTCCTTTCGCCGCATTAGAGCCTGGCGAAAACATTACTCACGCTACCTCCGAATCCGCAATCCGCGCGAAGCGTCGCGACTGCTGCGTTATTAACGATTCCGTCAATTCCGGCTGCGTTATTAACGACAGAGATGAGTGTGACCAATTGTGTACGTGTATGTGTGTTTGTGTACGTTCGAAATACAAAGTACTAATGTACTCGGTTAAAGCGTACCAGTAAAATCATTTTTTTATTGGAATTATTCCTTGTTGAATTCTTTTTCTGTCCAAGTCGGTAATTTAACGAGTTTTACTGCGTTGCAACGTTATACTCCGAAATGAACCATCAGTCACAACATTTCAGTGAAGAAATGTACTTCGATTATATCTCAGGGAGCAAACATATTCGCTAATGAGACACAGCGCACACCGACGAAGATCGGCAAACAAGAATTTTGCCCGATCGATCTTCATTTTCGCGAGAAAGCGCGGAAATTGCGTTACACGCGCTTTTACCCGTCCCGCAACGCGGGTGAAGTCGGCGATAAATGTAATATCGCGCGCGCTCGAAGTGAGGACGAGCGTGGGGTGAGAAATTTTTCAAAAATATTTATAATTCGTTTTATTCCACAAATATATTTTACACCGCCGCGCGGATGTGCTCGCCCGCAACCGCGTCGCGAGGCTTCGCTAGTTATTAATCGCGCGAGCGTTCCTCTCTCCGCTTCTTTTATTTCCCGCGATCGTACAATCAACGTTTTATCGATCTTCCGGCCGCGCGGCGGTTGGGCGCGCGACGGACATTGAGTGTCGCGCGGCGCACGACGGAATATTGCACGCGGGAATACTTTCCGGCGGAGCTCGTCGAAATAGCAGATCGATCGTGCGACACTCCGATAAAACGAAGCGCGCTCCGGCCGTCCAACTCGACGAAGAATCTCGATCTGATGGGCAAACGCACACACGGGCCGTTTGCACACAGTCGCATGCGTGCGTGCGTACGTGCGTGCGTGCGTGCGTGCGTGCGGCATGTAGCCGCAGATTCGCGTATGTACTTGACGTGATTAACGGCAACGCTTCGTACATTGTAATTAACGCCGCTTTGCGCCACTTCTACGAAGCCGCCGCCGCCGCCGCCGCCGCCGCCGCCGTCGCAGTTACGATGAGGAAAGCGCGAATTCGGTTCATCTTATGTAACGGGTCAAGTGGTGCGAGATACTCGGTGCCCTCCTTTAATCATCTGCGAGTAAAATCTCTTTTTGCTTCTCCCCTCCCCCCCTCTCTCTCTCTCTCTCTGTCTCTCTCTCTGGTTCGCTCCCGATTGGAAGCGAGAGAAGATGCATCCTCGCTGAGATGAGAGCGTTCGCGAAACCGACGCGTTATCTCTCGCATCTCCGAGTGGCGGATCCTCCGGGATGAACCGCGAAAGCGGATGGCGATTTATTCACACGGGGCGGGACTGCGGCGCTCGCTCGTGCGCTACTCGGAACTCGAGTGCGCACATGTGCCCCGTGAATATTATAAACAGCGCGAAAACGCGAGCCGGAGGGCGACCTCCGTCGCGCCGCGTTTCGCGCTCGACATCCTCCTCCTCCTCCTCCTCCTCCTCCTCGAGAAATTTATTTCCGCGCCCGAGATATCCGCCCGCGCGCGGGCGTATTAATATACCGTATGGAAATACTCATCGGCCGTGAAATATTGCGGTGTAATTTCAGCGAAGCTTCGCGCGCGCGACAATATTAATACGGCAAAGACGGTCGTAATTATCACACCGAGCGAAAGAATACAACACACGCTCTTGGCGTGCCGCGCGAGAAAAAAGGAGAGCAGAGTAGACGAAGAAAGAAGAGAGAGAGACAGGAAGAGAGAGAAGGCGCGCCAGAAATAGCCGTTTCAACGGACGATACATCCTCCCCAGGAAAGGCAGGTTATAATTCAGAATATTATTTAGTTCAGAAGACGCTACACGTGACGGCTATAGGACGGCAAAATCCGATATTGTTATTTCTAGCGACACGTCGTGTCATCGTCGTCGTCGTCGTCGTCGTCGTCGTCGTCTGCATCGAGCGCAGCTGGTATTACAAGAGGATATCACGTCGTTGTCGTAGTTGTTGCTCTGTGTTTG